TATATATATATATATATATATATATAGTTAATGTTAATACACAGAAGACTGACTCAAGTCCACTTTGATATGCAAAAATTTTATTATAATGTGTTAATCTAATATCACATTATATTATACAAATATAGAACTTCTTTTGCTAGTTTTTGGCGTTAGGTAGTTTAAATTGAAATTGTTTCCACACAGTGAACTGACAGTGTAAAAAATAGGATTAAGTTTTGTACATAATAACAAGATCTATAAGAGAAAAAGGTACATTTTTGGTGTTTCATATTAATATATAATATTGTATTAGTGTATAGTAACATCATTGTATTATTTTCCGCTTAACTGTACATATTTACATAGCTCAATTTATTTTTCTTTTGTATTACTCTAGAAACGTATAAATAATATATTAAAATATATTACTTCCTTTTCTTTTTAACAATTTTAGTCGCCTTTATCCTATTGTTATTTCCTTGTATGCATTTTACTTTCAGTGATAAATAAGTAGCGCTATTTCTGCGTTTTCTAGAAATATGATCTACATGTTTCCATGAATCCGTGCTATTAGTAATTAATTTTGGTTCATTAAGAGATATTTTGATTTCATCTTCTTCTGCATCTTTGGATTGACTTTCTTTTTCACAGATATTTGTGTCTTCCTTATTCTCCGATATATTTATAAAATTTCTACTGTCAACGTAATCAAGATCATTATTGTAAACAACGAGTCCATCCGACATTGCTTGCGGGACTTGACAGTCCTTGTTCCTAGTTGGAGGCACAAAAGCTCTCTCTTTTCGCGAAGACCTATATCTATATATGTCTGTAACTACAACATCAGACTTCTCTGATTTTGAAATATTTGAATTTGGATCACAATTTGCATTTGTCTTCACCTCATGCATCGTACTTTCCTCATGTGTCTCGTCAGATTTAAAAAGTTGCAGCGAACATTTTGGGGGTTCAAAATCTTTAAACACTTCCGCTACTAGTTGGTACAATGCATGGAATGCATTGTCTGAGGATTGCATTACATCATGCTGTATATATAAATAAAATTATATTAATGCTTTTTTAAATATTTATCAAACGAGAATAGTTCTTTGAAATGGGAAAAAGATATATTCATGTTACCTTTAAAGCAAAAGCTGCTGTGGCAAATCCGATAGTTTGTAAGGTGACTGTCTTCAAAACAGGTAATAAAAGAACAGGTACTTTCTTGTTCTGTGCCATAACAACAATGTGTTTTACCAAGAGAGGTGGTTCCACACTGGCATCTAATAAAATGCAACATATATTGTTCTTTTCTAAAGCTCTGGTAACTGCATTGATACCCAATATCACAGACTTTCTAAAATTCATATACAAATTAGTTTAATTAAAGTTTAAGCTACGATTCGAGTTACTACTTAATGTCATCAAAATGCTTACAATAAATTGTTATCAGGTTTGATTTCTTTCTCTAATGCTTCTTTTCTGGCTAATATACGTTCTTCTTTTGAGGTATATCTAAACATTGATCCAGAAATTTTGAAACTTGGCCGTTTTATCAAAGGTAATAACCTGTAGCATTTTAATATTTTTGTTACGATACTTCTTCAAATTTTCTTTTTTTTATAATCAAAATCTGAAGCATACTTACTCATTCATAAGATTTATCAATGTTGGATATTGATCGATATTCACAACAGGCCTAGGAAATAAATTATGCAATATGATAATAGTATAAAATAGTACAAAGCATGAATTTTATATAATACAACCTCTATTAATAAATTATTATTAATTAGATTGTATTTCAATATTCACTGTTAGTACTGCAAATATATACAGTTCATGTTACATATATCCTAGATTTGCAGTACTGGCAGTAAAGATCAGGATGTAGTTTTAATATCATTATCATTGTAAAAATCAACGTACAACTTGCAATAATAATAATATCAAACAATATATTACCAGTAGTTCTCATGAGGCTGTGCTAAGAGATTCCGCAAACCTTTAATAGGTCCTTTTTTAGCTGACAAACTCTGTCTTTGCTGCTTTTTTGTTAATACCGGTGTAGCCATGTGGATAATCAAATATTTTTTAATATCTTTTAATATATCATAACGAGTGCAACCGTGGCATGACAGACAGTACACTGATCTTACTATGCTTAGAAGTCCTGGGTTCGATTCCCGGCAGACCCAAAAAGATTCTCACGCGTTCGTAGCTCCTCTTCTCGGTGGTCTGGCAAACTACCAAGTGCCATGGAAAAACCTCTCCAAAAATTTGCCGTTCGGAACCGGCGTTTAAACTGTAAGTCCCGTACGCATGTGTATAAATCTGAGTGCGTACCACATGCATGCATGAGAGAGGGTAGATATATTAAGCCCTTATAAAAGGGAGCTTGTAGCGCGTCAATAGAAGAAGAATATATATCACAATATTAAAATACAGGTAGAAAAGTATTGCATCAGGAGGTTTAAAGATTGTCAAAATTCGCCTAAACTCCAATCGTTTGTAGAAGCTTCGTAAAAAATTGAATGTTAAATTCGTAACACACTTCACAGCAATTTTTAAAGCCCATATCAGACTACGGATTGGAGCTGAATAGGAATTTGACCAATCAGTGCAAAGTTCACTAAATTTCACTAAACTTGAATTCAATTAACTTTGCACTGATTGTCCAAATTCAATCACAATCCGTAGTCTGATACGGGCTTTATATTCCTACATCCATGTCTTCCTACGTCTCTTTCTAACTTATTGCACCAGTTCGGCAACGCGGCTAAAAAGAACAGACCGAAGAACAATAATGTAAGTAGTGTAAGGTAGTGCAGCCAGTGCAGGAGTAGAAAATAGACTCATTAAATTTGTTAAATAACAAAGCCATATTTATCGGAGAATTTGTCATTTGATATTATACGTCGTTTGTACGAAACATTATAAATAATCGGTATGTTTTTAAGATATATTTTCTTAATAATTGACAAAGATATAAATGTGTATAATAAAAGAAAACTTATTAATTTTTGTTAAATTATATTCTGTTTTTCGATGGTTTTACAATTTTAATATGTAATATTAAAATCGTAGCTTTTTATTATGAAAGAAAGAATAAAACTTCAAGATCTAGTTTTACAAGGTTAGGAAACTTGTCATTTACCTAAATATCAATGTTATAACAATATATAATTAAATATTCCATTTCCATATTCATATAGAAACTTCAAGTATGGAAATACATGTTAAAATTCATTAAATTCACCAAGTATACATGTATATAGAAGTCTTTGTAATTGTCTAAATTAATATATTGTAGCGTTTATAGTTTTATTTTATACTGTTTTCTAGAGAACTTTTTATAATATCTTATTATTTTACTTGCAGAATAATAAAAGTATAAATCTTTGGCAGAATTCACAGAATACAAACATGAATAAAAGCATAGATGCTTTATCAGAAGAGATTGACGAGTTGCTGCTACATAAGTTAGAGTTAATAGAGGAAAAGATTCGTGGAAATATTCAAATGGAAATATTACTGAAGGATGGTTACATTGAGTTGGCGAAAGCAAAGTATATTCGTGGGAAGCAGAACATTGGTATTCTGCAAGTTCCAAGTAATACAGATACCATGATATCCTTGTTTGACTTGGAAACTAAAGTAACAAATGAAAATGATAATACAGTGCAGTATTTTGATATTAGTTTAAAAAAATCAAATAATGAAAGTGATAGTCCAGGGGATCCTATAAAATGGTTTGGTGTATTAGTTCCACAAAATTTAAAAAATAGTCAAAAACGTTTTCAGGAATCTGTTTATCTAGCCACAAAGATAGCAAATATACAAGTGCAACTTGCCTCTGTATTTTCTAAGCTTAAAACATTGTATACACAAAAACATAATTTACGTTGTCAAAGTGATATTACTATTTAGTAATTCTCTCTATTATATGGATTTTTATAAATTCCATTATATGTTTAGAAAAACTTAGAATAGTGGTTGTGGGATGAATTATATATAACTCCACATATTCACATGCAATTATAATTGTAATAAAAGAACATTGTATTCTTTCAGATATAAAAATTAAGTTACTAAATAATAACATTATACTAATTGTTTTATTAGTATATAAAATTTAATCCAATCGTAAAAAAAAATGATTATTTGGGATAAACTCGGTACTTTTTCCTGGCTAATTTGTTAACTATATATCTTTCTGTATGGCTATTGTAAAAGCGTATTAATGTCATCCTGTTCTATTTGTTCACAGATTTTAATATAAATTATAGGAAACAATAATATTATTACTATTCTCTTTAAAATGTTACGAAGAAATCATCTGATTTACTTAGTTATTATAAATACCCGAGATTATTTTTCACAGGTGTTATAAGATATGTTGTACAATATAAAATTTTATTAAAGTTTCGAAATGTATTCCTTGATAACTTTTGTTATCAAAATAAAATTTTTTTGAGGAAAATTTAGTANAATATTCGTTAAAAGCCACAATTATTTTATCGATAATAATAATGATATACAAATATTTAATCTTCAAAAGCAAAAGTAAAAAATTGTTTAAAAATAATATAATTAGTACATATTATTAAAATATAATTATATTACATCGTATTACATTAATTTATTGAATTCAAGTAATCTATGTGTGTACTAAATATATATTCAAATAACCTGTAAAAATTTCAATTTTTTGCAAAATATTTGTTTCTAGATTATTTATATATACATTAATCTTCATATTATGTTTTTTTATTTGCAACATGATAGTGCATGTCTCCGTTACATGAAAGTAAAATGCTTATGAGTCGTTTATTTGCTTATTTAGTGTTATAGTTGGATCATTTATCATTGAAAGTTTAAGATATAATTTGAGAGCATTCAAGGTGTATTGCGAAAATAGCTTAACTTCCAATGACTCCTTTTCTGTTAAATCATCTTTGTCTGCGCGTAAATGATCAGTCATTATATCCACTACAGTTGAGTAACTAAATATCAATTCAGTACTAAAGCGTTCTATGTTTTCTGTTTGAATTGAAGTTGACGATTGAAACATTTGTATCATCTTTTCTAAACTGTCGGCTTGTCGTTTATATAGTTTTATCTTCTTGCTCTTATCTTGCTCAAAGGATGCTAAGTATCTATATGCTGTAGAAACGCCCAGTCCAATTTCAAATTCATTTAGTATCTTACTGTCTGTAATAATATTGCTGTTTATGACATACGTCTTTACATCATTAAACCACTTCAGAATATCCACAAAAACTTTTTTTGCCTCTTTGTAATCTAAAGGACACTTATCGGTGATCTGAACAGCGAACTCTTCTAGATCTTTTTCTATGTCAGAAAATATTAGTAAGCCCTTAGGCTGCATCTCAAATTTCGTGCATCTCGGACATTCTGATTTGCTTGATAGCGAATTATTCGCCTCGTTATCCTCTCTTCGTATTATGGCTCTTTTTCTTGATAAATTCAAAAGTGCAAGTCCATATTTCGCCCAATACAAGGTAGTCATGGCAGTCGCGTGCCTGTATCTATCTTGTGCTTTGCATTTTGTATAATTCTCATTCTCTACTTGTTGACAAATATCTGCAAAATATTTCTGTAGCACAAAGTTCGCGGCAGCGAGATGATTCCTAGCCTCTGTAAAACGACCGTACCTTACTAAATAATTGGACAATATGACTGAATTTATAATCCATTCTGGATAATTGTAGATTTTCGTTGTCAGTTGATCGTCCAATCGTTTATGCATACATATTAAAGCTTTTTTTATTATATCTGTCTTCTCAGAACATAAAGGTAAATAGTTATTATCATCTACATCCAATAGGGCTGTTAAAGTTGTTTCGTATATATGCTGCAGTAAACGCTTACAACTAATTTTATCTTCAATGCTAAGAACGCTTGCAACGTCGATAGGAACGGGATAATCGTCATTTCCTTTTGTGTACATCAAGTATAGCTCCAATGCCTTATTTAAATGTGATACATTTTCTATAATATTTCCCGTTACCAGTTCGATGTAACTCAATTCATTAAGCGCTCGGAGAACTATTAAAATAGCTTTGCAATCGAGTTCATTTTCTTTTAATAATTCCAAACATTTCGTAAGATAACTTTTACTGGTTTGTATTGCATCTTTGTCATCAATATATATATAAGCCATGTAGAGATAAGATAATGCAAGTGTTACACGATCGTCGAATTTTGTATCTTCCGAGTCGATTACATCGCGAAATAATCTGTCCATCTTTGCTTCCACATCATCAATCATTTTTTTCTGCGTTTTAGTAGTTTGATTTTCGTAATCGACGTTCGTTACTCTAAACGATGATTTCAAAACTTTAATAAATTTCTTACTAACAGTCATCGTATTCTCGGGATTCTCGACTGTTTCGACCTGCTGCTGGTTTTCCAAACTGCATACTGAATAAATCAACAATGAAAAATTATTCGTTGAATATTACGTGATGTCAAGTATTAAATGACTTCTGAATACATGATTAAAAATCTTATCATTACCAATTTGCAGGTATTGCCAAAACTTTCTTCTTGTTATGGGCATCTTTAGCATCGAACAGATCAATAATCGATACCGATAAGAAGGATTGCTCCATATAAACTATTGTAAAGATCTATACTGACAAATTTATATAGACTTGTAATGCATATATTCGGGGAAATCGACCTTTTTAATTGTAAATAACTTTATGTTGTGTTTTGTAAATAACTTTATGTTGTGTTCCTTGAATTAGACGCTATCATTGGATAATTTTTCCGTACAAGTGCGCGGCAATATACAAAATTCATTTAAACTGACCTTAAAATATAACACACGAATTTCTGTATCCGTAAACGTAAATTTAAACATATATATATATATATATATATAATTCCTTATCTTTTGACTTTTTATAGATATAAATTAAGAACTATTTTCTTTATGAAAATAAATTAAATATTTTTTAAGGACTGAAATATGACTAATAACAACAACAATTTTGACGACAATAACGAAATATTTATTGATATTTAACTTTCAATCGAAAATACAGAACATTTATGAGAAATATTATGTGTGTCTTCTTAAAACAAAATATGGTATAATATAATTGAATTATCACATATTATAATCTACCAAATATCTGCACGAAAATACATAAATATAAAAATTACAATCTTCCTGTACGAATTTTTATTTCTCTTAAGAATAGTTTTATATGATTAAGATTAGTTTTTATATGATCATTGAAAATCAAGTAATTTTCTATTTTCAATATGAGTGATAAATGATTTATATGCGTGTTCTGCCATGTGTAAATAATAAACAACATTTTTTTATTGAAATCACCTATCGGTCGATATATATACGAAATAATATTTACGAAAAATGATTTAGATATAAACTCCAATTTTCTATAATGTTCTCCACCGATTCGATTGTACCATTTAACAATTCTTCATTGAATTTATTATTGTTGTAACGAAATTTCTCAGTATTTGTATCCAAAACATTAGAGTGAGCAATTGCAATTTCAAACCAAGTCGGATGGAACAGATTTTGATCAGTTTCTATATCTAACATATTTATGTCCATTAAAGTACATATTCGCCGTTTATGCAGTTTCGCTTGTTTAATTGCATCTTGTTCATAACGTGCTAAATATTTGTATGCGTTGGCAGTGTCATGCATAATCTCCACATATTGTGAGAGATGACATTCAGGAACAATATACTGTAACGCTTTTTTAAGATGTGCCAGAACAGTTGCAAAAACTGCTTTAGCATCAGTATAACTCGTAAGGTACTCTCCTGCCATCTCAGCAGAGAATTCGTTTAAACATATTTTTACGTCAGTGAATGCTTCATTGGGCCATTCCTCGAACTTTTTTACAGATGACGGTTCAAACTTACATATCGTACACGGTTTATCTTCTACATTGCGCAGTAAGTTTTCGTGCGATGATCGCATTAGTTTCAGTCCATATTTTGCCCAGTGCATATCAATATGAGTTGTTGTTTTTTGATATACTTCGAAAAGGGAAATCTTTTTATCCGGATATTTTTCGTCCGTTTTCGCGTATACTTCCTGATAGTACTCTTTCATCAGAAAAGAAGCCGCAGCAAGATGATCTCTAGCTTCAGTAAAATGTTCGAATCTTAACAGGATATCGGCTAAGGACATTAAGTGTGAAACCCACTTGACATAGTCTAAACGTGATATTCTATTCACTAATCTCTTTAATAACATGTATTTACTAACAGCTATTTTATCGATAACTGTATGGCCAGTTGTTTTATCTGCCTTTGGACTTCCAGACTCCGCTAATAAGTCTTGTAAAACTTTTATACAATTTTGCTCCAGCAAATATTCAGAATCTTCTTGTTTGTCCGAGATAAAAGAAGATACAACATTAATAGGAGATATGTACTCTTTATCCGTGGTGTATGTTACATATAGTTGCAATATCTTCGTAGAAGTTATCAAAGATGATTCATACTTGTTTAACTTACGGTAGAAATGACTCAAATAATAATACACATCTACAGCTGTCAAAATAACTTTACGTTCCGTTTCTTTTCCTTCTAAGAGACTCACACATTTATTGATGTGGGATTCAGCAATATTTAGTTGTGAATCATCTATGCTATTAGCGTATATACGAAACAGATGTAAGTAAGCTTGTGCAAGACACACAACGTTATCGGTATTCACGACTTTCGATGTGTTTATATCGCGGTACAATTGATCCATCTTCGATTTTATCACTTTGATCATCTTATTCTGCTTTTTAGAAGGACATCCATCCTTTATGGACTCACTGATCATGTGCGATGATTGTAAAACTCGAACAAATTTTTCATCAACGTCTATTGTTGAATCCTCGCTACTTTCAATAGTCTCGACCGGCTCTGTTGCCGATGCTAAACAAGTCAACGTTAAAGTATTATTATTTTCTCGACAATGTGCGTAACGCTCATTACGAGTATATTATTCTTTTTCATTACCAGATTCGACCGATCTGCGTTTCTGTTCGCTCGTACTTTCATTGGTGGACATCTTTAGAAAGAATCGTGTGATTATCGGTATTAACAGTAAGACGAATTCTCCGTATAAACGCAATGCCTTATTGACTATACTTCAACAGAAGTAGCGCTTAAATAATTAGCGGTTAGTGAGCTCGATTCGTGTTTACTTTCGGATTTTCTTTAGCTTTAAAGCAAGCAACATATGTAAACATGTAAAGGTATACAAAGTATTTTGATTACTTAACTTGACTGGAACATCCTTTGTCTTCATGAGATTACATACAGATAAAATTATGAATATTCTCTCTTCTCATATACATACACAAAACTAATGAGATATCTTTCAGGGACTAAGTAGAAATTTAATTAAAATTAACGGTAACATTGACGATAATAATGAAATATTTATTTCAACCTAAATTTAATAAATGGAACAGCAAAATGTTTACAAATAGTATTTTATTTATTACGTATACCCTGTGTAAAAACAATAACATATAATAATTAAAGTATAATCATTTATCGTTATATTATAATGTATGAAATATTTAAAAATAAGCGTAATAACAAGAATTCCGATATCTTCGCATTAATATATCATGTTAACATTACAACGGCATAGTATCGTTATATTATACAAGATTATGAATCTTCACAAATTTAGGAAAAGTTAAATATAAACAGCACATTTCAACGCAAGTCTTTATTATTTTATTCATTTCATGTTTAATTGGCATTTCTTCGGTTAATTTTTCAGTTGATTTCTCCGGTTCTCTCCTTTGCGACTGCAAATTTTCGCACATTATCTCTAATATATCATTGGCAATAATTATTGCTTCAATCAACAATGACGAGACCCAAGCGTCACGTTTAAAATTTATTTTCTCTAAATCACTTAATAAAATCTTTTGACGCTGTTCGTGTAGCTTCAACTTTTCAGTTTTGCTTACATAAAAAGCAAAATATTTATGTACCTGCGAGATGAGTAATGTAGTCCACACATATGATTTTAGATGCTTCTCAACATTATAATTAATACATTTATTATTATAATACATTTTTGCTTCGTTAAGATACTTCATAACGTTCTCAAAAATCACTAAAGCTTCGGTATAACTTGAGAAATATTTATCCGTGATGGTAGCAGTGAATTCTTGCAGATCATTTTTCTCGTCAGCGAATATTAATAATTTATTAGATTCGTCCTCGCTAGATGTTACTATAGATAGTGTTGTTAAATTACATACCGCGCAAAGTTTATTTTCTATACCATTCAAAATTCTTTCTTGCGATGATCGTAAAAGTTGGATTCCATATCTTGCCCAATATATAGCTATGTCAGCTGATATCTGTTGATACATATCATACAAAAAAGCTTTCTTACTTGCATTTTCTGATTCGTCCATTTTCATGTAAGCCTTCTCATAAAATAGCTTTGCCATGAGTGAAGCAACAGCAAGATGATCTCTGGCCTCAGTAAAACGATTACGCGTTACAAAATATTGGGATAAGGTCAGTGCTATTAATAGCCACATATTATAATCTGTAGCTAATAATAAAGTACTATTTAATTTTTTGTTCAGTATCTCATGTTGACATATTGCAATTTTCTCCATATGTATTCGATCCGCCTCTGTATTTTTATCTAAATTCCCATACCCAATCAATAAGGCTTGCATAACTATTATGCTTCTTTTATCCAGTAAATCTTGTGGATCCACATTTACAAGGCCTAAATACGATGCAATGTAAAGTGGAGCCGGATATATTTCTTCCTTTATGTACGTCGAATATAGTTCGAATGCTGTATTATAAACCATCATAGATAATTCTTGCTTATTTTGTTCATTGTATAAAACGCCTAAATTATAATACGCGTTTACAGCTGTCAAAATAAACTTGTGACCAAGCTCTCTTCTTTTTAATAATTCTATGCATTTCGTAATAGCAAGCTCAGCAAGAGTTATTTCTTTTTTAGTACTTTCAAAAATATATAAATTAGACAGAAATAGATAAGCGTCTGCAAGAGTCGCAACTTCATCCGGATTTGCATCTTCTGCGTTAATTATACTTTGATATAATATATCCAACCTGCGTGAAAAATCTTGGACTATTGTGTTCGCGGCTTTTGCAAGATTAATAGATGATTTATAAATTTCAACAAACTCTTCACTAATGTTCATTGTAAAGCCTTCGATATTGCCGGCATTCTCACTCAGCTCCGCTGTCGTGCCGGACGCTAAACAAGTCAACGTTAAAATATTATTCTATGGATACACTATATAATAATCCTCTCTCTTGTGTAATATATTATTCTTGTTTATTACCAGATTCGGTGGACTTGCATCCCTGTTCGCTTGTGCTTTCGTTAGTAGACATTTTTAAAAAGAACCGTATTAATTATTGGTGATGGTAAGTGGGATTTCTCGATAAATACAACATATCAGTGACTGTGTTAAGCAAATCTAACGCTTGGTAAGTATAATCACCGGTTAAGGGATTTGACTTGTGTACATTTTCAGATCTCGCCTGAACCTAATGTAAATAACATAGACAAACATAGCTATGTATAGCCAAGATACGTTGATTACTTTTCATAACTAAAACATATCTTGACTTCACATGACTACTTATAGGTCAAATGATAAACTATTTTCCTAACAGAAATAAATAAATAAAATATTTTTTAAGGATCATCCGAAATGGTAACAACATTAATAATAATCATTAATTAATTAGCGCGTCATGTCATAATCTACTGAGTACATATAAATAAGCATAATATTTTTGCACGAATATTTATTTTTCTTGAAAATAATATTTATTGACATTTTTTCCATCTTATATTTCACATTTTCTCTTTATAATTTTATTGCAAAAATTTTTAGAATATCTCTGTCTATCCTGATAGAAATATTATGCTGAAAATTTGTTCTCAATTGACCCCATTTCATTATCATTTCGCCAATGTACGTTTCAATTAAATTCAGTAAATATCAACTTCTCATACTTCAACTTTGAGCGCGTGCGTGGCATAACAAATTTTTTTAAATATTAAATGTCATATAACCTCTTAATAAAGTGGGATCAATTGAGAGATTATTTCAGCAAACTATTTCTATATATTCTATATTTCGGCATATTATTAATAATATTTCTAGAGTAAATATAAATATCTCACGTCTAAATAATAATATAAAACTTAGATTAGTAATCCGAGTCACATATCCATCCATCTCTTCATCCATTAATCAATAACACACATATGTTAACTTAAGAATTTAAATATATTTCAAAATTACTCATGCAAGCTATCACACATTCTTTCGGAGAAAATGTCATCGGTTTTTTATCTATCCGGTAGCTTCTTAATATTAAATCCATCAATGTTGAATAGATGACTGCTAGTTCAATCCAAATCTGCTTACAAATATTATGATCACGATGTTTGTCTAAAATCTCCAGAACGTTTTCTAAAATAGCTATTCTCTTTAAATGCAGTATTATCTGGTCTCCCGTGTCTTGCTTATAACATGCAAAATATTTGCATGTTTTAGAAATATCTTGAGCAATCGATATAAATTCTACTTTATGCTTATCCGGGGTATAATATACATTTGCATTCTCAAGCCAATATAAAACATCTGTATAAACTTTTTCAGCATCAGAATAATGTGTCAGGTATTTATCTGTGATTATACTATAATATATTGGATATTCTTTTGGATCCACAAATTGTGTTAATTTATTGAATTGCTCGTGGAATTCTATAGATGATTCTACTTTTGAATCATTTACTTCAAAAGAATCGTTCTTTTTTTCACTCTGCAGTAATTGTTCCACAGACAAACGTAGAAGGGCAAGTCCATATCTTGCCCAATATCTGACTAGTTTCTTACATATGTCGTTATACTTGACATGTATCAAATCTTTTTTATTTAGAAGGGTCTGTATGTTGCTTTCTTTATATCTGTCTACATAAAGTCTATCTAATATCCACTCTGCAGCGATAAGATAATTTCTGGCTGCAGTAAAATTATTTCGAGATAAAAAATACTCTGATATTAATGCTGATTCTATAACAAATTTAGCAGATCTTATAGTAATTGGTATGTATCTTACATACTGATTGAAATATTCAAGCTTGTACCGTATACGTGTACATTCATCTGTCTGAAAAATTCCCTCACTTGTCTCTATTAATTTTTCTAAAATTGTGATATATACTTCTTCCAGTAAATTTTTGGGACTTTTGTCTACCTCAAGATTAAACATGTTTAATATATTAAAAGGGACTGGATATTCATCTTTTCCCTTTGTATATGCCAAATATAGCTGCAGTGCTTTCTCAAAGATTGGTATAGAATCTTTTGGTTTTTTCAGACTAAGATAATTGCTGCCTAAATGGTTAAGGACTCTGATAACTAGCAAAATAACAATATGATCTAGTTCTTTTCCTTTTAACAATTCTAAACATCTTACAAGATAAGCTTCTGTGCAATCCAATTGGTCTTCTATTACGTTATCATATATCCAAAATATAAGTAGGTAAGCTAGTCCAAGAATTACACTGTCATTGTATCTTATATCCTTACATTTGATTATATCCTGAAACAATCTGTTCACTTTGCTTTCTATTGCCCTAGTCTCTTTTAATTCATTTTTATAATATAACTTTTCTTCTACAGTTCTTATAATGTTGACCAATGATTTTAAGATTTCAAAAACTTCCATGCTAATATCCATACTCTCAGCATTTTTTGCGATCTCAATCATCTCTGATGTTACGACGAACGCTAAACAAATCAATGTCAAGTGATTATTCGGTGGACTTGATTCGTTTTAATTTATTAGTTTTCTCTGAATATATTATTTTGCTTCATTACCCGATTCGACAGATATGCTTTCCCGTTCGCTCATATCTTCGGCAGACATTTCCAGAAATGAATATATTATCGATATTAATAAAGAAAGCTTTTTGTGTTAACTATTTCGTTTATACCAACGTTTATATGTCCTTCCTTTCTTCAATTCTGGTGGCAGGTAGCATGTTGGCCTATATCAACGATATATATATATAGACCAAGCATTGTGATCAGCAGAAAAAGCAGTTTACTAAATGTTTTGTGATTATTGTATATGATTGGAATATTCTTTTAGATCTTCCATAAATCTAGGAGAATGTACCAGTTAGAAGCAATAATTATAAAGTATTTATTAATGACGAATTTGATTGGATGATTAATGCATACTAAGGTTTTCAGGTTTAAAATGCGCGTTGTGGCTCTCACACCAGCTCGACGTGATATCCAATGAGCGTGCAGCTCTTCTGGAAAAGTAGTACGTTCATTCAGATCTTGCCCATCGCGTGTCTTATATCGCGTCACGCATCGTGTTGGCTGCGAGAACCATTACGCGGAAAATATCATTCTCAAGACGCAATTCTAAAGGAGAATTCACACCTTACGAAAAGCAGAAAAGCAGCAAATCTCACGCTGGTTGTCAACGGTTTCTGCTTTATCTACTGCTTACTACCAGCGCGAGTTCTGGTTGGTTGCTTTTCTGCTTTCTGCTTTTCTGTCAACGTGTGAATTCTCTTTAATTTTTGACGTTGCTGCCTAGGCAGAACGCAATTTTGGAACCTCATCTTATATACTACGTAATTTCCTTATTCGTGAGTAACGTTGGGATATATACTCTTTTGAACGCCTGTAGCCAAAAATTGAAAGAGAGAGAGAAAGAGAAAGAGAAACATCCGAAGGGTCGATTGTACACCTCAAAACAAAGTGAGAATTACAAAAGTAAGTGAATTCACCGGAATGTTTATAATTTTATTGATTAACATCTAGTAAATTTGCTCATTTTTGTAATGTTCATTTTGCTTTGAAATACACAATTGACATTAGAAATACACACTGAGTGTAGAGTGGCATTTAATTATTTAATTGACCAATCATGATATCTTAATTCTTTTCGTCCTGATTGGTCAATTAATTGTTACTTTATTCTCAGTGTGGTGCTTCCGAACGCAGCTCCAAATATCTGTATCTATAACTTACAACTCGCCGCAAGAGGTCTCTATTTTCTGTTGTGCTTAACGGTCGTGAAAAAGATGCGATTTTCAAATTCAAGGCTTCGACAGTTTAAACATCATGGCGTGAAGTAACGTCGATGTTGGATATCCCGACTTTGACGATTTTCACAGAAATTCTAGAAATAGGATCTTGAAAGTTGATAGTAGGTATTGTATTGTGCTCTAAAAGTGACAAATATCCATATTCTCAAGAGAAAACGAAAGAGAAGACTTCGAAACGTGCATTTATTTATGCAGATTATTTCAAGTTGATAATACGTGCTGGTGTGAAAATTTACAAGAGAAACGATATTGAGTGTCAGAATGGCTTCATTATCACTTTTGGCTTCTTATGATGAGCTGGTGAGATGCACGAATGCCCTGATAAATGGATCCCGTGAGGAAGGTTTGTATTTTTGTAGCTGTAATTTGTTACATTTGTTATATTTTAGTTGTACTTAGAAAAATATTACACGATGAGATGTGTACAATTTTCTTATATTTATGAATATTAATGTGTTCATTGTTATGATATTGTTTCGTTTATAGAATTCTTACAATTTACCCTAAACCAAGAAGAAATGAGACAGAAGTGGTTAGCGTCGGTACAAGAATGCCAACGTCTTCATTCAGCCTTGGATAAAGTTCATCGTAACAATAACAGTCTCGAGAGGAAATTGGATCATGCTAGAAGGAACTTGGAAGAAGAAAAATATAAACGTCGTGTTGCAGAAGAACAGAAAAATTCATTGGTAACTGGAATGTTTTAATGCGATCTTAATACTTTTGAAAGAATATGAGTTCGATAATATGTGTTTACCCTTTAGGAAAGACAAATTACTATGGCCAAGGATCTCTTGTTTAATGACGGTGGTAGAAACATAAATGATGAGACTAGAGAAAAGCTACAGTTTCTCAACAATACTACTCTGAATCGTCAAAGTAACATACATGTGCAAGATATGCACATAGATAAGTAAGTATTGATTAAAAACTATTAACAATCCAATTTATCAGGTTATCAAATAATATCATGCTATTGTAATTTTAGACTTAACACAATAGCTGAACTAGATTCTACAGGTTCAATACTGAGCGACCTTAATTGTTTGTCAAAGACAGAAGATGATTTAGATACTAGTGTTATTTTACAAAATCAGAAGAAACGAGAATTAAAAGAGCGACGACCTAGTGGTGAATATTCCGCAAAACAACGTCGCAGTACAATACATAAAGTCGCAGAATTAAATTCATCTGATAAGATAGTAGCGACTACTACTGTAGTTATGCCGAAAGATGGTGCAATTACCGCATCATCTACAATTGAAGCTATACCTGGCGATGAAAATATAGATCCTCAGACTCCTTTGCGTAATTCACGTAAACGACGTAAGAGTAACACAAAATGCGACAGACCCAAATTATCACACATAGATACAAACGAAATGCCGATAGATACAGCGGTATGTTTCTAAATTATGCCATTTATCTTTTTAATTTCATTATGATAATATTTACAGTATGTGATTGTGCATACAATTAAAAATTGCTGTTTTTAGCCGTCAGCACCAAAGGCTGATATTCTTATATCAAGTTCAGACACAGAGGATGTTTTTAAGCCAAGCCCAAACATTGGTGGATATACTTTAAATACCAAGATGTCTAGAACTCATAATTTCGAAGCCAAAACTGTTATTAAAAAAGAAACGTGCACACCATGTGGTAAAAGGTAAATTTATAGCTATAAATTTTCAACTCCAAAATAGGTATCTCTCACTCTCTGCCAAGTATATCCAAAAATTGTTTATTTATTTACGCATCGTATAGATAAAAATGGTAGGATTCAATTATAGTTAGAGAGAAACATCTTAATGCCTTTTATTAATTTATTACAGTATTCGATTTGGGAAGATTGTACAGAGATGTAAAGATTGCCGAGTTATGGCTCATACTGAATGTAAAAATTTAGTACCACTGCCGTGTGTCCCAACGGGAAATACACCTACATTACGTGGTATACCCGTGAGTATTCTATTATAATAATATCTGTGTTAGTAAAATATGTTCAGATCGATATATCTCTTCATGAAATATCATTAATAGGGTACTATAGCTGATTATACACCCATGACACCACCAATGGTGCCTTCTATAGTAGTTCACTGCGTTAACGAGATCGAATTACGTGGAATGAACGAACAAGGTTTATACAGAGTGAACGGCGCAGCCGCTGATGTTAAGTGTCTGAAGGAAAAATTCCTGAAAGGCAAAGGTGCTCCGAATCTTTCCAACGTTGATATTCCGACCATATGTTCTACCTTGAGAGATTTTCTCAGGTATGTCATCCTGAACTGCTACACGTGATACAAGTACTGCATATATATTCAACTAAATTAATATTTAATGTTCTACAGGTCACTACGTGAGCCGCTGATCACTGTCAGTTTGTGGGCGGATTTTGTGCGCGCGACGATGATAACGGATAAACAAGATGCTGATGCTGCTCTTTATCAAGCAATTTCAGAACTACCACAACCGAATCGAGATACCCTGGCCTTCTTGATGTTACATTTGCAAAGAGTATCAAGTAGCCCAGAGTGCAAAATGCCCATCAGTAATCTCGCCAAAGTCTTTGGACCGACTTTGGTCGGTTACAGATCCCAAGAACCTTCTCTCGATATGCTCAGTGAAACCAAGCATCAAGTCGCGGTAAACGATATTTTCAGTAACGTATTAATATAGGAATTACACACGAAATTATAACAATGTGAATACTTATTCCAGATAGTAGAAAATCTACTTCAAATCCCATCGGATTATTGGGATAATTATGTGAACCCAGCAAATACAAACGACATATGCACTCCGAAAACAGGAGAATTAAGGCACACGCCATCCACAGAGTCGCTTCTTAAGCGCACTACTTCCCGCAGTTTCTTCAATACTCCACTTGCTGCCAGGTGAGTGGCAACAAAGAATTATTACCTGTCCGTACTTGTCATTATTTCTTACTTCATTTTTTACTTACAGTCGTACTTTTGCGAGAAGAAACAAGAAATATTTTGCTACACCACCTTCTAGAGCAGGATTCTAACGAGTAAATTTATGTTTATTGTATTAACCGGAAAGAAAAATTTTATGTTTGACATATTTGTGTGTACAATTTTTTTTTCTTTTTTGTAAATATATTTCTACAAAATCACTCGACCGCCTAATTTATATATTCTATTTTGTGCATAGGTCTCACATGTTCAAAATTTAATATTTAAGACAATTATATCTTATTGATGGGTAATTGTAATGTATTAATTAAAAAAATGAATACATTTTCTTGGTGTTAATTTTATGCTGACCTTCAATTGCTCCTTTAAATTGTTAAATGTTATTGATTTTGTTTTACAGAGCGTTTTTATTTGTTATTCTTGCTAATAATGGTTCTTATAGTCTGACCATACCGGGAAAAGTTCTTGATTATGTTTAAATTCAAATACCAAAATTTATTACTTTTAATATTACAAGTGCGCGCGCGCGTGTGTGCGTGCGTGTGTGTGTAGCGACTGCGAAGCAAATGCCGCAGATTATTTGAGGTTAAGATTTACCAAACGCAAAGGTTGATGAATTTCGCTTGGAAGGATCAACGGCTGCGAGAAGTGGCACGCGTGAATTTCCATACGAGAAATGCAAAGCAAAATCAGATTTCTCGATCTTAGAAATAATTAACGGTGTTTACTCTCTAAAGTCATACAAATACTTAACAGAATGAACGTTCGTTGTTTATTACGATTATGTACCATCATTAAACGTGCTAATCTTAACAAACATAGATTTTATTGCAGCAGAAACATATTAAAACTTCACGAAAGAGGCATGTACGAGGATATATTTCCCAATATTAATACGTAAGTATATTAAATTATATTATAGAAACGCATATCGTTTTATGTGTAATACAACGTATCTAAAATTGTAGAAATTACATCTTATATTTTCTTCATAACATTTATGAATATTATATGTATATTATACATATATTTTTTCAGAAACGAAATAGTAGAATCGTTGAACAAATCACCACAGTGTGTTTATGCTGGATTTGATCCAACAGCGGATAGTTTACACATTGGCAATTTACTTATTCTAATGAATCTCTTGCATTGGCAGAGAGCAGGACATCAAATTATAGCCCTAGTAGGAGGAGCTACAGGCTTAATAGGTGATCCTAGTCACAGAAAGGCTGAGCGTATTGAAATAGAAAAAGTTTTAATAGAGGAAAACGTCAAGTCTATCACAAAGAACATAGAGACTGTCTTTGATAATCATGAGAAATATTTCTGGAAACAGAAGGAAGAGAAACTGGAGCCCCCAATTATAGTGAATAACTTGGATTGGTACACGAATGTAGATGTTATTGAGTTCGTGAGGAATATCGGAAAGTATCTTAGAATGGGTACAATGTTAGGCAGAACTTCTGTCCAGGCACGGTTAAACTCTGAGACGGGAATGAGTTTCGCCGAATTCACCTATCAGGTATTTCAGGCGTACGATTGGTTGCAGTTAATGGAAAAATATAACTGTCGCTTTCAAATTGGCGGGAGCGATCAGATGGGTAATATTATGTCTGGATACGATTTAATTACAAAAAGTACGAAAAAACATGTTTACGGCATTACGTTACCGCTCATAACGGCTGAGGGTGGGAAGAAATTTGGAAAATCTCTTATGAACGCGATATGGTTATCTCCGGAAAGATCTTCGAGCTTCCAGTTGTACCAATATTTCATTAGAACTCGAGACTCCGATATTGAGAAATTCTTGAAACTGTTTACATTTTTGACGCTAGACAAAATTAACGAAATTGTGGACGAACATAGGAATAATCCAGAACTGAGGACAGCGCAAAAATTACTAGCACAACAAGTAACACTTCTGGTGCATGGAGGTAATTTTTATGTGAAATTACTATTGTTAATTACTTGTTATATACATTTACTGTGATTTCTTATAGAGAAAGGATTGGTCGCGGCGAAGCGCGCTTCTGCAGCATTGTACGATCAATCACTAGAATACCTTGTGAGAATGAATGTATTAGAATTGGCGGATACGTTTGAAGGTGCGACTATAGTAGACGTTATATCCGAACCGGGACTCACTGTCTATAATTTAGCAAGAAAAGCAAAATGCTTTAAAACTGACCACGATGCGGAACGAATCATAACAGCGGGCGGATTTTATATAAATCATCAAAAAATTACTAATTTAAACGAGATAGTTGTACCAGGCATACATATATTAAGTAATAATACATCATTGCTCAGAGTCGGTAAGAGAACATACCATATAGTCAGATGGCAGTGATGTCATAAAAAATGTAAGATATAAAAGTACATATAAAACAAGATGTTTTAGCATTCGGAAGATCAATCAATAAATTTAATACAAAATAAATACAATAATTTCCCTTCAATTTTTCCTTCAATATACGCATCATCATAGAAAACATTTGATAGACTGCTTAATTATATAATATAAAAATTTATATACATTTTTTATACAAATACACTATATGTATATATTTACAATTTAATTATATATATCCCACAGAGATATATAGCCATTTTTGCCTGTTGCTGCCATTAAACATTTAGTATCATAAGCCTCAACTTCACGATTCGAATAAGCAATATCGTATATGCTTTCCCTGTGTTCCTTTAATATCGCAAGTGGCCGCAATTTTTTCCATGAGAATAACATCATGCGTCCGTCCCAACAACCGGCTGCAACTATCTTCTTATCTGGTCTTACGGAGAGCACGGATATGCCAGAAACATTACTCAAATTTTTTGTAGACTTGTGAGATAAAGCATGACTCGGCGACATTCCAAAAATCTAAAAAATTGATAAACGTAATATCTATATTCGTACTTAGAATAATATTCATTATCTTATATATTTCGAAAATTGTTTTAACTATCGAACCAATTTTCATAATACCTCCAATTTGTCTGACGCACTACCAAGAATTCCTTGCATTAAAGAGACATCAAAATCGAAAGTCATTGGAAAGTGTTCTACATTAAGAGAACTAAGGACATCATGCTTTTTCATATCCCACAATAATAATTGTCCACCTTCATAAGCAATTAGAATCAATTCATTCATGTGTCTTAGTGGTTTTACTGCCATCACCGTACCTAACTGGTTATGGTAGGACAGTTTGGAAGGATCTAATGTCGATTCTACATTGAGAGTTTTCAATGATAACATCCCTACTACCGAGGAATCAAGCGGGATCAATATTGCATCCTTCTCAGGCAATAACTGAGATCTGTAACGGCAAATCTTAGTATCAACTTAAAAAAAAAATACTTGTGACATATCTGTTAATATACCTGCAGAAACTGCAATATTTATAGTTAACACTCTTATTTAATATCCAATTTGATTCGCTTGTGTTATATATATCGATTATACCATGTCTCCGTTGTACTATTAAGTCAGCTTCACTAGTTGAGTGCAAATTAAAACATGGGCTGTCTCCATCTGATAATCGACTTTTTATCCTATTTATCTGTAACATCATGAAGAGAAAAAGTTTCTAACTTAGATACATGTATACTTTAACATTTTAATGAATCTCAACAAATAAATTTTTTACAGCCAAATATTTTAATAACTCTACTGATTACATAAGTTCATAATTCAAAAATACAATACCACCTTCATATGTAAATGAGGATTTATATCTATCTGTCGAAGTTTTGTAATGACAGGAAGTTTTGTAAGGAACAAAATAGTTACCTTTAAATCCCAAATATGAACTGTGCCTTTCCCATCGCCAGCATAAAGATGTTCCATATTAGAATTAATCGAAAATAACAAACTGTGTACATTTTCACCCATATCGCCGCGCAACAAAAATTTGGGGTCCGGTGGAGGGGCAGGCATCGTTGCTATCTTGTTCCCTTTACAATTTAGCGTAAAAGTAGGCAGAATAAAATACGGAATGCTGTCATAACAAACTACAATAACGATACATTAAACTTTCTACAAGTTAGATTATAGGTTTGTTTTCTATTCCCGCCAGGGACTTGGGACCATAGATGACAGAAACGTGCCGCAAAATAATAATGGAGGTGATAACGTATTGAAAACTACACGTAAAGGTCATTCTACATTAGTTACTAGTCGATTGTAAGCAGATGCAACGCTTGTCGCGACAGCCAATAAAAAACCTTCAATGGTTACGTTCAGCAGAGAAAGCAGCTTTGCAACTGTTGTAAAATTCATGAATCTGATTGTTTTTAATCGCAACGACCTTAATCAGGTCTTGGATTTTTGAAAATATGTGAAAAATATCACATATGATATTTTATGATTTCTGCATTACTATTCACTACAAAGTTGCGTGCGATATTCTAGTGACATTCATGAAATATCGTATACAATATTTTCAAGAATCAGGCTTTATCAGATTACGAATTAGGTTGAGATTAGATTGAAATTTGACCAATCAGAGCGAAGTTCACTAGGTTGATTTCAGTGAGTTTTGCTCTGATTGATCAAATTTCAATCTAATCTCAATCCTAATCCGTAACACGGGTTTTTACGTCTGTTACGTTGGCAGCTCTGCATTGCGAGAAACACGGTGAGGAACTTCAAACTTTCGCCACAGGTGGCTTCCAGAACCAATTCGAAGTAGATTCCTCAGCGGCGACGAAGTCGCGGGTTACCGGCGGCTAATTTAGGAACTGCGCTATCATCATTGATTAACCGAGGCATACCGAGTACGGCCGATTGTCAACGAGTGTGACCATTTATCGCTGCTTAACCTGCCTATCATCATCTGCCTTGCGCGGTGTTCGTTATGTGTGTATCACGTCCGCCGCTCCCGCATTCCTTGAACGCCACAAATATGTGAACGCGCGATCGAATCCTGTGAATCGGCGTTAGACGCGCAATTAATATCATTCGAGTGCATCGGTCGCGGTGGATAGTCACAAATACGTAATTGTCAACGTATAACGTAAAAACAAGGGATGTCGGAGATACGCAAGCGAACGGTCGGCGATGCGTCGGCAGGATCACGAGACTTAAGCGACGATCAGGTAGGCAAAGAATTTTCACTGTTCGTTTGCACGCGCTACAAGCGGGATTGTCTCTCTCTTTTTTTGCGGATGAGAATAATCTTTGACTGAATTTCGCACACCGATTCTCGCCGCGGCTATCGATCTGCACCGTTGGCATGGTGGGTTTATTTGTTGATAGGTATTTTGACAGCTACCAATACCAAAGCATATGCCTATACTATTTCTGTGATGGCTTTGTAGTGGCTCTACGTATAAACATACATACATATATATATATAAGTATATATCTGTGATATGAATATGCGTGACAAACAAAGCACAATTGAATTAAAATGCTTCCCGTCGTGTGCGCTTCTTCGTCCCTCTTTCCCTCACCCAAATCAAGCGGATTACTTAATGTTTTTTTAATAGAGAATATTAATGAGTCTTCCTTGTGTGGTTTGTCCGGTTTAATTATCGTCGTATTTGCGGTTTAATTATCACTCAGGATCTTTATGTAATATTTAATATTGAATAGTCATTTAATGAGCTATAAGGAGATATAATTCTAATGTATTCTAATGTATAATTTCGATTACTTTTTCTATTATTTCATGAATATGTAAACACAATATTTGTATTCATAACTTTTATCTCAAAATAATATCGCTTGGAATTTCTTCTCAGAAAGAGGATGTGGAGTCTGAAGATGATGCAAAATTGGAGGTAGAGGAATTAACAAAGACTTTACCTCAGGGAACTGATCATACTCCGCATATTTTAAGTTCTGCTCTCTCCGGTCTTCCAGATCGGTAATACGGATACATGATATTTTTTTATTTGATTATACAGCTGTTTTTTAATCAGACATAAATACATATTTAACTATCTTTTAATACTGTTTTTTGTAGCTGGCGAAATTGGATAATTAGAACCATTTTCACTTGGTTTATGATAGCTGGGTTTTGTCTTATCATTTATGGAGGCCCACTAGCATTGATGGTTACAGTAAGTCAAGTGCTTATGCTAATTGAGGAATGCATACAATGTGAATGTTTCTTCAATAAATTCTTTCTATTAAAAACTATATTTATTTTTGTAGACATTGGTGGTACAAGTGAAATGTTTCGAAGAAATCATTAATATCGGATATGCTGTATATAGAATTCACGGTTTACCATGGTTCAGATCTTTATCATGGTATTTTTTAATAACCTCCAATTACTTTTTTTACGGAGAAAATTTAATGGACTATTTTGCTGTAGTGATTAATCAAACAGTAAGTGTTACTTCTACTGGGTTTCTTATTTGGGTTGTATGCAATATGTTATTTACAAAAAATGCCAATATACATATAATTATAAATCTTTGTTTATTATACAATTTTTTAAAATTCATTTGTAAAATACTTCTGCATATATCATAAATGTTAACATAAGTCAGTAGCAAAGCCTTGACAAGCTTTATCTCAGTACTCTTATTATGGCTTCATCACTTTATGGGGCTTCTTTATAAAGGTTACTTAACACAGAAATTGAGCGAAAAATAATAAGACTAACATTATACATATGCTTGTAACAACAGAATAATATACATAAAAATTACAATTTTTATTGTCTTTAGGGATACCTGCGTATACTTGTAACGTATCATCGATTTATTTCATTCTGTCTTTACATTGTTGGTTTTGTATGGTTCGTACTTTCACTCGTAAAAAAGTACTATATGAAGCAGTTCTCTCTATTTGCTTGGACACATGTTGCATTACTTCTTGTTGTGACACAGAGCTATCTCATTATCAAAAATATCTTTGAAGGATTAATATGGTATGTATATTATATGTACATATATGTATGTATATATATATATATATTTACCAGAATCATTACTATAATAAATATTTTAATAAATTGTCTAAATGTACACAAACATACTTACTTTACTAATTATGTTAATTATCTTTAGGTTCATCGTCCCTGTGAGTATGATCGTGATAAATGATGTGATGGCATATATGTTTGGCTTCTTCTTTGGAAGAACACCATTGATCAAATTATCCCCAAAAAAGACTTGGGAGGGCTTTATTGGTGGTGGTATTTCGACCGTTATATTTGGATTACTGGTAATAATGTGTTTTCTACAATGTGTTCTCTGTAGCGAATGAAAGTAAGATTATGTTGATATTGTCTTTTAGATGTCATATGTCATGTGTCAATACCGCTACTTCGTTTGTCCTATTGAGTACAGCGAAGCTTTAGGGAGAATGACTATGGATTGCGAGCCATCCAGTTTGTTTCAACCACAAGAATATACGTTACCAAAGAGTTTTCAAGTGATATCAAAGATGGTAGCCTATTTTGCAAATAAAATATTATCGAATCATGTGATGTATAGATATTCAATTGTTGTTTTTCTTTTCTACACAGTTTAACGGAAAACCTAGTTTAACGATATATCCGTTCATTCTGCATTCGTTGTCGCTGTCGCTATTCAGTTCCGTAATCGGACCATTTGGAGGGTTCTTTGCGAGCGGATTTAAGCGAGCCTTCAAGATCAAAGTAATATAATATGAAACTAGTTATATTTAAAATCTAGAAAACAGTTACTGAGTTTTATGACTTTATACAGGACTTTGGTGACGTAATCCCTGGTCACGGTGGAATCATGGATAGATTCGACTGTCAGTATCTGATGGCAACATTTGTGAATGTTTATATTACCTCATTTATTCATACCGCGTCACCTCAGAAACTGTTACAGCAGGTAAAGTATTCAAGTAGAATGAAAAATCGTTTAATTTATAATACAAATATTTAATATTAATATATCTCTTACATTGTATGTTAATTAAGTAAGAAAAAAGCGATTCAATTTCTTTAAAGCATACACATATATGTCTTTCAATTTAGGTTTACAGTCTGAAGCCGGAACAGCAGGTACAACTTTTCCTCTCATTAAGAGATTCATTGCAGAATAGGGGTATGCTAAATGCTTATTAATATTCTAAGTTAAATGTACTTAGAGTGGCAAACTTCTCCTGCAGGGATTATTTTTATCTATTAGAAAATATTAGAAAAGATTGTTATCTTTTCTAATATTTAAGAAAACATTACATGCAGATGGCAATGCAATCAGTATCAAATAATCATATTTTGTTAAACTATGACAATGAAATTTATTTTTAATTAGATAAGGTAAGGTCATATCATAATGTGGTAGGCCTGTCTAATTGAAATCAATATGGCCAGAGATAAGAATATGTATGTATAATTTTCCTGTTGTCTCCCTTTTTTTTTATCATTATAAATGAAGATGCATTTTAATATCAAGAGTTGAGCTATCTCTGCTCTGTTCTCTATGAAATTCGTATTCATACAAAGAACTTGTTTGTTCACGCACTGACAGAACTGTGATGCACGAATTGTGGAATGATGGGACAAATTTAAATTGTAACATAGCTACTTCTGTGATTAACTCTGGCCTAAGAACAGTCAGTTGGATAGATCTATCATATGGCATTAACTATTTTTCTTGCATTCCACATTAGGTAGTTAAATTTTTGTCAAACAATAGTTTATATTAAACTATAGTATTGTTGGAAACAATTAATATTTTTATCTAAAACCTGAGCCAAAGAATCATACATTATAAAGGTTTTGTGTTATGCATAGCAACGTTTACGAAAAGCCTCCAGCTCCTAAAATATCTACTTATAATTTTAGATTAGACGTTAAATAAAATTAGGTGTTAAAGTATTCTCTGTTCAAGAACATATCTTCACGTTAAATATGAAGATCTCATATGTAGTACAGGTTTTATTTGTAATTGTGCATTTAAAATTCGATAAAACCGAGTCTCACTTGTATATAAACTCATATTATTTGTTTTCTTACTTAGAATTAATCTTTAGAATTGACGCGAAAACACTGACAATTCTGAGTCGAACATATAAGAGTCTGATTTAATCTTTTGCTAAATGCGTTCTTTTTTTATTAAAATTAGCTACGCGTAAGGGGAAAAATACCTTACTAACATGATTTATATGTTGTAAGTATTATCGTTGGTGTTGTGGGGAAACGGTTCTACTTAGGAGTTTAGCATTATACTTTTTCCTTCCTCTTAGATATCGAATTCGCATACTTATCTGACTGTTGAATACAGCAAAAGAAAGATAAGTCGACATTTAAATTACGACGGAATGAAATTATTTATATTAGTTTTTTCTTATGTTTGTCTCGCGTAATTGTTATCATTTTTATTATCATTACCGCATTATTAGCGGTGTGCACGTACCTAAAAAAATATTCGCTAAGGCAGTACCAAATGTTTTAAACGCGTTTACATGAAAATCCCGAAACTGTCCCACCGTAAGTGTAAGCGTATCGGAGTATCTTTATTCATTCAGTAGAAAACATCCTGTCAGTTATGTAAGAATGCATTGCTGCTTGGAATTTATAAATCGTTGCGTGGATATGTTTCACTTAGCATATACCATTTAGTCTTTATTATTGTAATCGTAGTACTTATGTTATATTATACATAATGCTAAACTTCTCGAAATATTGTGTTAACGCGACCTTTCATTTACGCATATAATAGCGAGCATATAAAAGCAACTAGGGATGACAAAATTGACTATTCAGACAAAATCAATTCTCCATCTATTAATTGGCATTTCCGGCAGCTGCGAAATTAAATGGCGAAATTAATGAATAGAAGTGAATTTGTCTGTTGTATTTGTATTAATGTGGCAAATGATATCCTGCAGCTATATAATTTGTAAAAGTAAGGTCAAGTTACCACATGATCATCTGCTTTGCCATGTCGTACGGTAAATGAGGACAGCCAAATGGATGTTGGTTGAAGAAATGATCCTGAGGATGAATTTTTTTTTTGTCAAGTTTTTGTTCATTATTTCATTGTACTCGAAATCGATTACGATACTACCCATAATTGTGCCAATCGTGCTTGTTAAAGAAATATTCTTACATAAATCGTCTCGTATGCACTGAATTGGTGTGGCACAATTATAAACGTAACTTTCTGTGATTAGATTAATACAAACTATATAAGTACGTTTCGTACACTGCTAGAGTACACTCGGATCTTAATATAATTCTTGGCTTGAGAATATTGGCTTTGGAGCATATAGCTTTTAGGTTTCGATGGAACCAATTCAATAAATGTGTAAGAATGTGCTTCTATCTTGCCATCCTTTTCTCTTGTCATTTTGGTTTTCACGCCTTATTGTTTTTTTATCCCTACATGCGAATATCATATTTCTCTGCTTCCTATTTCGTGATGTTATATTGAGATCCTAGTGTACGCATGTACGCGCGCGGTACGTCGCGTGGAAAGGAAGATGTATTGTACCTAATTATAAACAAAATGAGTTTATAGATTCTTCTCGTCTTTGAACGCTTATGACATCTCTACAGTGAAAACTTAATGGTTATTAGATAATCAGAGAAATAATATTACCCAAGATGAATGGATTAAATATATACGTATATATTTATTTAAAATATATAGAGAGAATTAAAAAAATATATATATATATGTATAGATGGAAGTTATGTGGGGAAATGTGTTACAAAATACATAAAATTTTGGACTTTCAAAGTGACACTTAAGTTTTAATATATGATGATATATATTTATGTAGTGATAAAGAAATAAAAGATACTTGAAAAATTAACACATTTGCGTGAATATTTTATTCTAATTTCTATTGCTTTCTCTTATTCCGCGAACAATATCATATTATTTCGTCTGTTCATATATCGAATTTATCAAAAATTAAATTATCCCACATTTCGATAAGTTTTATACGATGTGCAGCTCTTTTTAAATATCGCGCGGCATAAACGTCCGAACGAATTTATGCGAAATAGCGCTAGCTGAGACCAGTAGAAAGCAAATGTTCCTATTGGCTATTTCGGATACAATTGGTTTGTTCTTTTTAGCTGAGCTGCACTAGTACGAGAAATACGCAACCGAAGCGTGAGTTTTCGTACGCTTCAATGTGTGTAAATTTCTTGACCAGTGCAGCCAGTTCAGCTAAAAAGAACACACAAAAGTAAATCTCCAATTATATCTGACGTTAGGTATGTACACCCCACAGTGTCGCCGTAGCGAAAAAAGTTACACTTTTATTTTTTTTCGGTGAATTTCGAAGTAAAAGACAATCGTGGTGACAATTCAATGATTTTCGCAAATAGCTGTTGCGATCTTTTTGCAAACGAAGTGCGTGTGTAAAAATACCCATCGCCTACAGAACAGTGACTTCACGTATCAAACATTTATGACGCCTGATGTACGGACATACGACTCTCATGTAACGATCTATCGATTTTTTGAACATGGCCTTACAATAGGAGAGCAATAGCGTGAGTAGTGTCGCAACTCGTTTCTTCTTCGATCGCGTTCGCGTGTGACGATGGCGTTATCATAACAATAATTATGATGTAGTTACACTGGAAAAGAAGAAAGAAGCAGTAGCTGCGTCGCAGGAACAGTGGATAATCGTTCGATGCCACGCTTGAATAATGTCGGCCGAACATCACAGCGGCAAAGGTTACGCGCCTCTACCACAGAGTATAAGCAACACCGACACAGAGGACGAGGAGGAACGTTTGACTCAACCCAACGATGTTGCCTACAAGGCCGACAATAGTACAACAATAGCGGTGAGATATTAGCAAACAGCAATTATTGCGAAAATATGCTGTAAAACTTATCAAGAACATATCACTGTTACCTATCTACTTGCTTTCTCAATCCGATCTGTTTTCACTTCAGGAATTGCATTCAAATCATGAGAACGGTGTGTTTTATCCATTGGACGAGACGAGAAATCTGGGAAACAGCGCGAGAAATAGACAAAGCACAATCAAATATTACAGGGATGATATACCGATAATGGTGATCGAAGGAAATGAACAAAATGATTTTTGGAAAAGGAAAGATATGTCACCGATCAGGCGCTTTTGCTTGTTCGCGTCAATATTACTATGCATTGTTACGATAGTCATCTTTTTGTATGTATTACCTTGCGACAGTTCAATGGTCTGTCCGCCTGTTATCGAGCCACAATCTTCGATATCCTGGGATAAGACTTTGCAAGGTGTAGGTGAGTTGTTATTATAAATTACATGTGATAATAATATCATAATATAACATTATTATAAATCACATGTGATAATGTTATTATTATAAATCACATGTTGAGAATTACATGAGTTATTATTATAAATTACAAGTGATAATAATATAATAATATAACATTATTATAAGTTACATGTGATAATAATATTCTCCTGACAGAACAAGTAAATGTAGAAAATCTAAAGTAACAAGATACAGTATACATTGTGTTCCTGCTGATAATTTCTCATTTTAAACAGAAATACAAGGGCCTATTACCATAGTACCTGGATTCCCATACAATCTGATATTTCTTCTTCGTGGCGAACAAAAAAGGAACGATACAAAGGATGGGAGGATACATCAAAGACAAGTACCGCCAGAAGGAGGAGGAGTCATGTCAATGCAAGGGAGTAGCGGATTGCCGTTATGGCTGGTTCCATTAAAAAGATTACCCATCATCATAGATTGTACCAGTATCGACATAGATCGATCTGGGAAGCCTGATTGTATTGTTGCTGGTGAACAAGGCCTACTTGTTAGCATAGAACCGATCGCTGGGACGATTCATTGGAGCTCATCAACTCATACATTTCCCAAATTGCCAGTCATCCTACCAGACATTGATGCGGACGATATCGAAGACTTGTTGAGTGTATCGGTGGATAATGCTAATGTGTCATCTCTCGTTCTTTTATCAGGCAAGACTGGCCAATTGCTGGGACGTTATTTAGTCAATAACTGCACCTCTATCGATATATATAATCTTGTCTCTAACGGCAGCATATCCTACAGCTGTTACGATGACAACGCAAAGCGTATGTGTCACAAATGCTGCTTCATTTTAGTTCCTCTTCGTGATTTTACCTGTGTGTCTCGGTTGATTGATGAAAAATATTCATTTGTTGCAGATTCGATGAAATTCATGTCCCTAAAAGGTTTACTCCACGGTGTCACGAAAACATCGCAAGTGCATAAAAAACTCTCAATCAGATTGACAGCGGCATCGCCACGGCTTTTCGAGATAGTTAAAGTATCCGACGAAGAATATGTTTGGAAGCCTACGCCTTATCACCATTTGACTATAGAGAACGAAGGGGTATGTCCGGGGCAACTTTGCCGAGCTAACGTTAATTTAACTTTGCAAAAGTTGACGAGCGAACCGATCACCATTTGGGATCACGTGAGTTCGAACGCGTTCGCATCGAAGCCGGCGTTCTTGGTGACTTCAGATAAACCTTACACTTCCGGGTTTGTCATTAAGTTCTGGCAATGGATGGACCCTTCATCCAATCATGTGGAAAAAGCGTCCGTTATGGAGCAGGGACTTGTAGAAAGGGTCTTGATAGTCTTCGTGAATTACACGGATGTACAAGCTATTAATGCTAGTCAAAGTGATATCACGCAATTGTGCCATGGTCCTAACTGTCAGCCGGATCTAAATTCGCGGAAACAGTTCAGTTCCATCGCCGTTAAGTATATCGACAACGATGAATTTCCCGAATTGATAAGCTACTGGTCCTCGTATGACGTAGACTCAACGAAAGGCTTGACATCGAAAGTACAAGTTATCAAGATGGATTCCGTGTTGTCTAATTTGTTACACGGAAACGTTTAAACTTGATCAAACGGTTTTCACTTATGCCTCACGTTTAACGACACGATTGCGCTTGCATTTTGTTAATTCATTTAAAGTGATATCTTTACACATCGAGATCAGATTTATCCCACACATACAAATAGAATCATTCTAATCTCTTCTGGTTTTATTTGTATTTTTTTTTTCTTTTTTTACTACACTGATCAGCGGCTGTGTACAGAAAACAATAGTTCTAAAACCGTTAAATATTTGCCTGTGATTGATACATACGTTTAAATTTATCAGTCTAATCTATTTTTCAAAAAGCTAGTTTTTCAACCATTGTTACAAATCTTCTGAAGGCAGCCAGTGACTTCTAAAATTCGATGTGGTGCATTCGGTAGCCAAGATTATATCGTACTTGCAAAAGGATTCATACCAGCAAACTATTTCACTATTAATTATAAAAAAAAAATTATGTTTTCTGGTTATACTCTAAATGGTGCCTTGAATCAAGTTGTATATACTTATCGTGCATATTATATCATCCAAATATAGAGTGCAAGGAAAATTCACGTTTGTTCAGAACATATTTATTTATAAACAAGTAAAGTGTGTTTAGTAGTGTTCGTTCAGAATATACTTGTTTATAAGCAGATATGTTTTTCATAAGTTTAAAAACATTGTGTAGAAGGATTCGCATTTTCGCCTAAACATTTGAAGCTTCTTGCAATGCCTATTCATTTTTTGAGAAATTTAAATTTCCCGCAACAAGTGCAAATATTACTTAAATATTATACTTAAAAATATTACCTAATTACATTAAGTGCAAATATTACTTAAAAATTACTTAAATATGTGTATTTTCTACACGTATACAATATCGCAGTATTATGAGTTTAAAATAGTTAATGAAAATCTCATTCTAGTCATGTAAAAGTATTATCTTAATTCGACGAGCTTTGAATTAGGTCTTACCGATTAAGTTACTGACCGATTATTCGGTAAATTATCGAAAAACTATTGGTTGACTCTATAAGAAGGCTATTGCGATTGAAAAATAATTATATATATATATATAATTATTTTAGTTGCTATACCAAATGCATACATACTAGCGAATTGAAAGTATCGATATTTTATGTAGTTATGAATTTGAAGGAACATTTGACGAAGGTCCAATAATGCTGATAGGAAAATTTGATGATCAAACCTTTGAATGTTAAAATAGTCATAGCTGCGTTGACTTTTTTCAAGTGCTTAGGCCTCTCACTTGGAATATATATTATATTAAACCTGATAAAGTCGAACGTTTACAGAACACGTCGAAACACATATGCGTTCGTGTAGTACTGAAACAAAATTATTATAGTAACTAATGACAGTAGCGTGCAAAAGAAATGTAAGAAATATTGTAAAATTACTCTCGACTTTATCTTGTACAAAATAAAAAAACTTTAATTTGAAGTAACGTGAATAAATAAATTTACCTGTATTTGTGAATATATATATATACATACATATATATATATATATACACAACATGTATGTACAATAGTTCGCATATAAGAGTTGTATCTGTAGTAGAATAATTTAAGTTCACTTGGTAAAATGTCGCTTTTGCCACTTTCTTTCCACATATATTTTGTTAATGCCGTTGAAGGTATTTATAATATTTTAGAATATTTAATTAGAATCTGGACTTCCTCGGCCTTGACTATGTATTTCCATATATTAATTAAGAACAAACACTTCTAGTGATAGTTCACTATATTCGTACACTGATATAAAGGTCTCTAGTCTATTTCTAGTACTTTTCAATCTTACAACTTCAAAGCTTGTAACTTCTGATAAGGTTCCAACTATGATTTTTTAGTCTATGGTTTGGCAATGGACCGGATTAGGTTAGGTTAGTTTACATACAACCATTCTTAATTTTCACACCGGGTTGTTGAAATTGTCCCTTATAAGATAAATAATAAAAAAATTTAAACGATATATTAAATATCGAGCTGTTAGAATATTTTGTAAGATTAAGAGATACAGTGATTTAGGATTAATGTAGACTCTAACACATGTACTAAATGTGCGCTAAATATTCATGTCGCTTATTTTTGACTTGACTCATCGCGACCATGTTAGTACTTTAAATATTTAGTCACCTCAATTTGTAATGGTAATTGGTAAATAAATATTTATATACCTTGTATTCCAGTAAATATTTAAAATGGTGTCAACGCGAGGTCCAAAATTCAAGTTTTGCGATGGAGAAAAAGTATTGTGCTACGAACCAGATCCCACAAAGGCAAAAGTTTTGTACGATTCTAAGGTAACTTAATTCATACATCTCAGGTTAAATATAATTTTATAACAATATAGTTTATAAAATACAATTGGATCTTACAAATCCTGATGAAAACATATCATTCTTTTTATAAAAATATGGAGAAAGGACAGTGTAAAATAATTTATAATTATGGAGTCTCAAGATGATTTCTAAAGTCAAAGAACAAATTTATATTATATATTATAAAAGTTTTCGTAAATAAATTGAATGTTAAAAGAGTTTATATTATATATATAAAGTAGATAATTATAAAATTATTTTTAGGTACTTGATGTTATTGTAAATAAAGACCAAAGAGGTAGGAAAGCTGTGGAATACCTTATACATTTTCAAGTGAGTTGCGAGAATTTAATCGAAGCCACTTAGCTATACAAGGAGTCCAGTAAATCATACTACAACTGACAAGAAGGTGATTTCTCATGAAAGAACAAGTAAGAAATATAAATTTTCTTAATTGGTTGCATAATTTTCGAGGAAAATAATTTTGTATACAAAAATAACCTACGCATCTGTTTGACCGATAAATTAAAAGGTCAGTCTGTTTTATTTTTTTATTTTTTTGTGTTTTACAAGAAATCACCTCCTCGTAAATTGTACCAAGATTTATTGAATACCTTGTATATGAGTTGTATCAAAATTTGGTAAGTGTAATATGTTGAAGCAAATATATATATTTTATCGTATTATCATATAAGGGTTGGAATTCATCTTGGGACCGCTGTGTGACAGAAGAATATGTACTCAAAGACACAGAAGAGAATCGCCAACTTCAGCGAGATTTAGCACAAAAAGCGCAGCTACAACTGTATGTATTCTTAAAAAGTTGGCATAACGTTATAAAGAACTTGTATAATTAATCAATTATAAATTGCTATTATATCATTTATTTGAATATAATAATAGGGGTGCATACTTGTATCGCCGTGAACGTAAGAAGCGAAGTCATAAAATGTCGGAACGCTTAATTGAAGCTGAACACCAGGAACCCCGCCGTAGAGCAAGAAGCGGTGGTAGCCGAGCTACGTCGGCTACCACTGGGTCTTCAGAAGATGGCAGTTCAGGACAACACGCTGATTATGACACAGAGGTAAATTTTATTTTTCTTGTAATATACATACATATATATATATATATATATATATAAAAGAAATATATGCAATAATAATAAGTGGTAATTAAAATCTGGGTAAAAAGTATGTTGTAACATCGTGTAGTCGTTCGTACTGAACATGCTGATTTCATTGCCGAATGTTAAATGAACGAAAGCGATGGAAAGTAAAACAATTGTAACATGAACTATGTTCAGCATAAACCAGCACTTAGTAAACGCTAATATCAGGAACATATATAGACTTACACAAATTATAATTGACAATATTAACTGTATATTCGAGATTGGACTAATGTCCTAAGCCTAGTGACTAAGCCAATTTCACACGAGCTACAGTAAAAATTGTTTGGCAAATTAGTAAATATATGGATATTTATTTATCCGAAACTTTATCCGAAAGTTTAATCTAGTTTTTTCATAATGTAGTAATACTTAAATGAAAAATATATCAATGCAGGAGGTAAATACAGAAGAGGATACCGAGAGTAGTTCTGATTACATAGGTGAGACCAGTGATGATGAAGACAGTGGCGGTGGTAGTCAATCTGGGGCCAGTATGAAATCAATTGATCTTGACATAGGTCCCACGTTGAAACGACTTTTAGAGCAGGATCATGATCTAATAATTAACAAGAACAAGGTGACTTTTGTCAATTAAATTACTTTTAACTCTAAGAACAATCTAATATGTATTATTGTGAGGTATATTTATAGAGAGAAATATATATAAAACTACCATAGAAAGTTGCTTGAGTTTTACCTTTTTAATTCTTATATCTGAGCGAAATTAAAGAAAGATCATGCATTTCAGCTTGTCGTTCTTCCTGCACAACCTACCGTGGTAAATATCTTGGAATCTTGGGTGCAACACTTTACTACGACACAATTGACGAATATTCCGGAGAAACCTCAAAGAAATAAAACATATAATACAATAGAGAAGGCAGTCAATGATGTAAATATATGCCGAGAGGCTGCGGACGGTTTACGTATATATTTCGATTTTACGTTACCTCATCTCCTTCTATATAGGCAAGAGAGAGAACAGTATACTTCCCTAAAAGCTTCTTTATTATGTAATAACGTATCGTTATCGGCAATGGTTGTAAAAGACGAGTCACCCGAGTAAGTATATATTCTTTTATCAAGTATAAAAATTTGCAATAAAGATCTCGTCGATAGGATTCGTTCGTTGAATTGAAGGGAGAATATTTCTGCTTTTTAAAGGAACTCTGAAATACTTGGGAAAGAAGAATTTGAAGATACAGAATATGCTCATCTACCGCCGTTTCAAGAGCATGATACAGAAATAGACAATACAGCCAAGTCATTGAACAATTCCAAGCGAAAGTTGCGATCATGTCGAGTAAGTTCAGTCGACGAGAGCCGGCAACTAAGATCTTACGACGAAGGAAAACAGGATGGTGGCAATTTGTCGAGGTAACGTTTACCGTTGTTTCACAAACGTATACTGTAGAAATTCTACAGGCTGAATGCTTACTTTTAACGAGCACATATCGGAATTCTCGTTTGACAATATTTCCTATATCGGGAACGTAATATCGATTGACGCCAGCTTTGTTTTTTTTTTACACGATTTCCTTACGTTTGAAACTAGTTATAATTTATGATTGTTTTGTTTTAGTAGCATAGCAAGTACAAGTTCCCGTTGTTCTAGCCCACGAGGTGTAACACTAAGAATGCCGCCTGTTACCTCTGGTCAGGTGAATGCTTTACTTCAACAGTCGAATAAATGGAGATTAATGCCTGAAACTTCAAATAGCGGGACCGTATCAGGTCCGTCTACTTATTACGGTGCTGTACATTTAACTAGGTTATTTGGTAAGTTATATATCTTTCATTTTCTTTAACATATACGTCGCACACAAATTATAAATGCTTCTGATTGATAAAATATTTCAACATTTCTCTTAATTCTAGTGAAGTTACCTGAACTGTTACAGTCCACAGATATAACAAGCAAAAAATTAAAAGTACTTTTAAAATATTTAGATATGTTTCTCAGGTATGTAATAAATTCTAGTAAAATGACAAAAGCGCCTGTAACGTAATATATTGTTATTTACTTTATTATTATTATTATTTATATATTTTTAATTGGTATGTTTACAGCTATTTAGAAATGCATAGAGAATGGTTTGGGGAGCAATTCTACATGCAAATGGAAGACCGAAGTTTAACGTCAATGCAGATAAATAGTACATCGCAAATTAATAATTAACGATATTCAACAACATTTATATAATTGACCATGATTTCCTTTCAACAGAATGATAAACAACATAATATATATTTTTTGTGATATACAGTAAGAGAATTCTGTGAATTCAAGATCGATATAAGAAATTAACCATTTTTGATATATTAATGCGTATTCATTGTGTTTCTTTACATCTGCATCTTACATAAGAAAAATAACTAATGCCAGTTTCTTTCGTTTACAGTTTACACCTTTGACATATATTTCCAAGGATCTAAAGATTCTCCGAGCTCAAACGTGATTTCCGTTATTTTTCAATAGACATTAGCCCCTTTGGAAAACCGTAAATTGTTAGCGCGCTGTATGAATTATCTTCGCATATCTTTGCACTTTTCATATCTTGTGTTTCACATATCGGTCGCGCGTTTAATGTCGATAACGCATTATCTAAATTATCTCCGTCGTATAAAGTAGCGAACGTCAGTACCGACGATTGACGACTGATCAATAATCCAGGAACATAATTACGAAATAAAAAACTGCAGCGTAAACGTGCGCTAATTGCTTGAAAAATTGGCTCCGGGCTGTTCGGTTGTTCCGGTATTCTCGTACCGGGCGTTTCACACGAGACCACGCGCGCAACACACACGAGAAGAGGCGTGAAAATTTTTAAGATGGCGTCTCCATTATTGGTTTACGCGGAACAACGCGATCGGGTTAGCTGCTGCGCTTGATTGATGCGGTGATACTGTCGCGTGTCATTTGCGCTCCGGGATATCGTGAATATCGTTAAAACTGTGACACATGGAGAGGAGGATGTCGGAACAGGCGGCCTCGCAAACGCAAACGGAAACCGTTTCCGAAGCGGACGTCACTGATTCCGGATCGCAGGTACGTATGCCCCCTTCGTCGTTTCGAGATCCTCGTCGTGAGATAAACGCTCTCGCGCGATGGACAAGTTTCCGCATCGTTAAGTGCGTTTCAGTTCGGCGTGAACCAACTTGCTACGTCCGTAACTAAATACCACAGTCCGTGCTCGCACGACCAGCGTGGATCGCATAAATCGATTTGTCTTCGATTTCGCGACCGCTATTGTTACGTGACGCGCCAATATAGTTCTAATACCACTATAGTTCTAACATGATTTTTTATGCGACATGCAACACCGATAGTTACAACATCGTGAATCATCACAATTATCACTCTGTTTTATCATGCTGTTCATGTAAACGTATATTACCGGATATCACCGAATCGGTTTCAGCCGATGTGTCGTGTAAACACAGTCGTCACTGGCGATATCGTCCGTGACGATTTACCAACAGACCGAATGTGCAATTACGCTTCGAAATCAGATTTTTGCAACTCGCTATCTCCGATACGCGACTTTCAGAGAGCGTTCGAGTATCCTTGATATCCGCGATATCTCGACAACTTTTCCGCGCCGACAAGGTTGTCGTTCCTAACATCGTGTCTTGAGAGCATCTCGACGATGCGGAGCATATTTACGATTTTCTCGCGAGGCTACACCGCGAACAAGAGGTTCTTGATATGCGGACACAATCCGAGGAAGCACCGACGGCCGTTCAGCACTACTGTCGTCGAAGACGATCGTTCGCCGTTGAGCGGGACACGAGTTCTAGATCTGACGCGGATCGTAGCCGGTCCCTACTGCACGATGATCCTGGGAGACCTCGGCGCGGAGATCCTAAAGATCGAGCGACCCGGCAGCGGAGACGAGGCCCGCAAGTGGGGCCCGCCGTTCTTCGAGGGGACGCGCGAGTCCACCTACTTCGCGAGTGTCAACAGGAACAAGAAGAGTGTTTGTATTGACTTGAAGAGGGGGAGGGATGTTGTGTGTGAATTAGCACGGGAGTGCGACGTCCTGGTGGAGAATTATGTGCCGGGCAAATTGAGCAGCATGGGCTTAGGGTACGATGATATAGCCGAGGTGGCACCGCGCCTTATATATTGTTCGTTAACTGGCTACGGATCTCAAGGGCCGTACGCAAGCAGATCCGGTTACGATGTGATCGCTGCATCTTTGGGAGGCCTCCTGCACATCACCGGGCCAAAAGACGGGCCGCCATGCAAGGTCGGTGTGGCGATGACAGATTTGGCGACAGGCTTGTATGCTCATGGAGCGATCATGGCAGCTCTACTGCAGAGATCAAGGACCAACAAAGGCCAATGGATACAGTGCAATCTTCTATCGACCCAGATCGCAAGCTTGATAAATATCGCTTCGAATTACTTGAATGGTGGCAAGGATGCGACAAGGCTGGGATCCGAACATGAGAGCATAGTTCCGTACGAAGCTTTCCCAACAAGAGACGGGTATATGACAGTAGGAGCGGGGAGTGATTTGCAGTTTGTGGATTTGGTGAAGAGATTGCAGTTGCCAGAGCTAGCCGATGATGAGAAATTTCAGGATAACACAGCTCGAGTTGAGCATAGAACAGAACTACTTCGAATTCTTAGAGGCACGTTCGAGAAAAAGACGAATCAGGAGTGGTCTGCGGTACTCGAAGGTGCCACTTTTCCTTATGGAGCGGTAAATTCTATAAGAGAAGTGAGTTAATCAACTCCGTTTGAGTTTGACGCGTTATTCAGAATACAATAAACTTCCATTGTATTAAATTTGGCATCTAATTTCCAGGTATTTGACGATCCTCACGTTAAATATACACATTTAGTTCAAGAAGTAGACCATCCAATCACAGGCAAGATGAAGCTTGTTGGACCACCTGTTACATACAGTTACGCCACCAATGCAGTGAGATCACCGCCACCAGTGTTGGGACAGCATACAGAAGAAGTTTTAAGAAATATATTAAAATATTCCGACGATAAAATAGAAAATTTAATGGCACAGAAAATTGTGGCAAAATAATCGACAAATATAATGCATTTTTATATATTTTTACAAGCCATTACATAGGAAACAAATATCGATTTTACAGTGGAATAACAGTTCTAGAAACTTGTAAATATTATTACATTTATCTATGATAAGATTCTGAGAAATTTCATTATAGAGATTTCACAGATTGGTTACTGATGGTAGATGTGAAGTACACGGCATATGATTAATCGCACGATTTATATTATTATATATTTTTTATATTACATGTATTATATATTCGTATATATTTATAAATGTAAGGTATAAAAATGTTGATTTATGATATAGATTTATAATTAAGTAAACAAGTAAAATAAATATTTATATAAAATTTTCTTCGTTTTCGTATCGTAATTGATGAATAGACATAGATAGGTAACTTCAATTAAAATAGATGTTGCCGATCTATGTGGTATATTAACATTTTTAAATCAATTTAATGAATACTACAAACCTGCAATGTTTTTAACTACCTCCTAATAACATTCCCTATATATTAGTAGTTTAAAATATGCTTTATCTGGATAACGATTTTCTGGAAACCGTTTTATCATGTCACAAAGATTTTTATAATTTCATCCTGCAGGATGTACCTACTGTACGATTACGTCTACGAAAACCAAAATCAAATAAGAAGGTTCAATGGACTCAGGGAACTGTTGATAATGAACATTTGAATAAGAAGAAATCAAAATGTGAGTTTGTGCATGCAATTTATTTATAATTATCGAATTTACCCGACAAAAATTAAATGCTTTTATTTACACAGGTTGTTGTATTTATGAGAAACCAAAAAATTTCTTAGAAAGTAGTTCCGAGGACAGTGACGACGAATGTGAACATTGTCATGGACATAAAGATGCTCACAAGAAAGTCTTACCTAAAGCTGGAGATAATACTCAAGCAGGGGTGCCATCACATCCTGGTAAGATTTTCACACCAACTAAGTGCGTTATTGTTAATGTCTTTTTGGTTCTACATTATGCTTCTTTCTTTTTTTACAGAACCGATTGCAACAGGTTCAACATAAATATATGCATGCTTATTGACAACTCTTCGTCCTAAATGGGAAATAAATCTCTTTATGCTATTTCTTGCATCTCAGTGTCATACAGAAGAGATATGGTGAATTGTAGGTAGGTACTTAAATTTCGCACGATATAATACGAGAGAAGACTGAAACATTATGAGATACCGATTGAAATGCTGCATATATTTTTTTTAGATATGCAAACACTTTAAATATGATTCTGCACTAGTACATACAGCATTTGTATTGCGATGCTTCAGCGATGACGCACGGACCAATACAAAATGTCCAGTCTGTTAATTATATATAGATCATGACATCATGAACATAGTAAATTATTGAATATAAATATAATTAGAAATATCGTAATTAATATCATTTAATTATCGATGTAATTAATGTCATTATCGAGTTCTCTGAGAAATAATTCAATCGCCACATTCCTTAAGTTTATACTCGAATCAACGTTATTTTGTTCATATGTACCACTTGTTAATTAATAGATACAATAATGTGTTATAAGTAAATATATATTATAATGTTAACCTATGATCTTTATTAACATTAATTATAATTACAATATTTATTCATACATTTTATAATCACCGAACCAAGTTTTAAATTATTTTCAACTCAAATGAAGATTAGAAACATATCAAATTTTATTTATTTTTTGTTATTTTTATTTATGAAATTATTGTTTATATCATTTTGTCATGAAATATTGCATTACAGTTTCAGAGAAATGAAATGTAGTATTACCAACACACGACGTAGAAAGGCTAGAAAATAGTGAACATTCACATTTATTCATTGTTTCCTTCATTCAGCATAAGTGTAAGCAAAATTTACAAATACTTCAAATATACGTAAAAATGTAATCGGAAAAGAAATAAAAAAGAATCCAGTATTAGATCTTACACGAAGAAGAGCATAACTACACAAAGTCTAATTCTTGCACACATTCATTGAGAATTCCAAATATAGTTTTATCAGAAGAAAATTTCTGGATTTGTTTTACGATGCAGTTTATACAAATATAAATTTTATATTCGTATTTAATTTTAAGCTGATCATTTAAAAATGATTATATCGGTCCATATTCTGAATTTATTTTTATCGATAAAAGTGCCTTAAACCTGGCTTCTTAGCCAATCACTTGGTTTCTATGATACTTTTAGAGATACTTTTATCGATAAAAGTGAAATTAGAATGTGGAGATGTCATTTTCGAGCGATTGATGCAGCTTTAAGATTTTTTGTCAAGTACTTCCTGATCTCTTTCTTCACTGTAACAATAGACACGACAACAGTATATTTCTTCGTGATATACACATTTTCAACAACATTTTTCAGCAATTCTTTTTAAATAATGCTCTCCTAGAGTGAGATTCTGTAGCACATTACTATGAAACGAAAGTTTGTATGTGCACACACTTGCATAATCTCAGATAATCAAAAATATATTCCGATCATTTGTGCCTTTACAATAATAGTACTCTGGACGATTATATATATATATTGTACAAACATATATGTATATATATGTATACATGTACATACATGTATATATGTATGTATATATACATGTATATACATACATGTGTATATGTGTGTGTGTGTATGTGTGTATGTATATGTGTGTGTGTGTGTGTGTGTGTGTGTGTATATATATATATATATATATAACAAACTTAAGTGCAAAATAATTTTTAAGAGAATATCATTAGGATCTTGTACAAATAAACACTTAAATTGGAAACTTGATGGTTGTTAGTCAGTCAACGTTGCAGCTGCTTTTCTGGTACCTAAGTCTTTTTCGCACTTCTAACCCCCTGGGATAACTGTGTTCATCTAAACCTAAGGCCTTCACCATAGCACGACTCCTCCATACCTTGACTGTATAGTCATCACTGGTTGTAACTAACATTTCAGGATCGCGTGGGTTAAAAGCCACGGAATTGACAACATCATTGTGAGGGAATTTTGCTAAACAAACCCCGTAATGTCTATCCCATAGGTAACCGTGCTTATCCTCCGCACCGCTGAAACAAGATTTTGTTTGGTGCTTTAAAAGTATAGGATTTTGTACCGAATTATAAGCTGATCGATTATCAATCATATATAATCGGATCATTACCTTGCTACATATTCATTGCATACATCCAAAAATATAAAGAAACATTCGTTATTAGGCGTGTACGCCTTGTGTGCCCTTAGCATGGTTCCGACTTGCTTCAACGTTACCAAGTCGATCACGTGTATGTCAATTTCTTGAGCTATCGGTGGTGGTTGTAACGGATTAGTGATAACATAACCCGTTGGCCACGGCCTTGTATTCACATAGAGATATCTGAGAACGTTATGCATAATTAGCTGCATTATAATGCATCTCAAGTGAAAGTACATTCATATATTTTAGCAGCGCCAACAATACTCAACATCTTGTGACATCGTCGTTAACCGACCTGTGATCGGGTGAAAGTCCCATTCCGATGATATGACCATGAAGATCGATCAGGTGGTCTACTTTGTCGAATCTATCCGCCACCGATTCGTAGTCCAACCAATTAGTATCCAACGACGCGGTATTCCGTCTCTCCCGCTCCCTTTTCTGCTGAGCTATTCTCTCGCGCAGCGACGGTCCTGGATCCAATCTTCTCGGGAAACTGATCAATTTAATTCTCTTAAAGCCAACTTTATGGGGAGTATACGTCTTTGAGCCGGTCGTGAAAATGAGAAATTTTTCGGGGTTATTCGCCAGCTCGTCTGTGTCACATTCCTCGGTCACCGATGATTCTGTAAATCCGCGTATTTTCTATCGCATACCTTGCACATATACACGCTGTATATACACGATACACGTTGTATATAACGATTGTAACTTATTTGGTTGATATAAAATTTCCTGCCGCATTTACATTATGCCGTATGACTTTCCTACCTCCGGACTCACTTTCTTCTTCCCACTGCGGATTCTCACTCTCGCTGTCGCTTTCATTCGCCTTCTTCTCCATCTCAACCTGCCTGTATTCCTGGTTGTACTGTATAGGACTAGCATAGTCAAAACCATCACCAAGTTTTCTCCAATTCATAAATCCACCTTCTAATGTACTATATCTATTATATATGTATATTTCACGATGTTAATCACTAATGTAATCGTGTGTGTGTATATATATATCTCGTTATACATAGAGAAAAAGAAAAGGTTCATACTGCAATCTCGACGAGGCGTGGTGTAGCACTACCGGCTCTTCCTGCTGTTGTTGAGAGCTATTGCTCGGTGACAACAGATCCTTATGGCTCGGCGGATTTCCTTTCTCCTCCTTCATATTCGAGGATGACGGTTGGTTCTGTTGTTCCGTAGATTCGGCTGGTGTAGGTGCTAGACAATTTGCAACCATAATAGCTCTGATTGAGGAAGCATTTTCATTGTAGAACCTGAGGATCATTACACAATTATGCGAAAACAGACACTCGACTTGAGAAACTCGAGAGAAGGCGATTATTCATGCGTATAACAGGAAGATTAAACCAATCGACTGAGAAAAGTTCACTTCACTTAAAAAGCTGCGTCATAATAGGCACATGTTCACTAGCAGATTCCTGATTTGCTTTATTGAGCCAAAGCACACTTGTACTGACCAAATGTGCCAACCAATGCAGATTTCCACTCACAAGGTAACGTTCGCTATACCATGTGCCAAATATGTCATATGGCTTATTCACTACTCTGCATTGGAGGTCAAAGCCAGCTGCGGACAAACAGAAAACATGTATATGTCTTTATTCGTGCAAATTGAGAATTAAAGGTTTTCCTTTAAAACCATTAAAATATCTTTTCATCGTCCACCGGTTTTATCGTTTTTTTTTTATCATTTATCGTATAATCTTTTTATCTATAACACACGAATTTTTTATCTATATTTTCATTTTTTATCGATATTTTTTACACTTAATCACTTGCTCATACTTACGTGCTACTCTAAACACTGCTATTTCTCCTGAAGTACTATGAGGCGTACCAAAATGAACACCAGACACAAGAAGTAAAGTATCTGTACAATTGAATTGAGAAAACTGTGTATACTTCCAACTAAATGTCTTCATATCGTGCAAGTATTTTATGGTAACAGGATGCTGACTTTGCCATACCTGAAACAATGGTGTGCATGATAGTGTGTACAATCTGTATACAAAGTGAAAGGATATAATTACAATTAATAGATAAACATGACCTACAAAGATATATCCATCTTTTGAGCAGGTTGCAAACATTTTGCCATTATGAGAGAAGCTCACATGTAATACTTGATGTGAATGCTCCTTGAGAATTTCAGTTTCTATTAATGGAGTATGATATGCTAAACGTTTAAATTCTCCTAACCAAGATGTTTTCCCTAAAAGAACAATGATATTCCTGAATCAAATGAGAAATAAAACATAAACACAAGACAAAATATCAATACAAATATATGGATAGATATAAATAAATATAAAGCAGATTTTTCTGTATAGTAGCCTTTTTGGAACATCAGAAATATATCTGTTGTGATCAAATATTTCATTATAAATTATAAGTAGAAACAATGCAATCTATTTATTGCAAAATTTATTTCAATCTACTGTTGCTTGCATACATCTAAATCTTATTGACTTTTTATTTTTTATTGTTATTGTGTCTTCATTTCTATTGTCTTCATATATATATATATAATAGATATAATTATCCTATATAAGACATATATATATATGTCTTATATAGGATAATTATATCTATTTAACTGAATAGAGCAGTTTAGCCCAGAAATCGGAACAATTTTTAGAACTGGACCACAGCATGAATTTACATCATGTTTATTCACATGTAAATGCACTAGTATGTTATTTTCAAACGTGTAAAAATACAACCACGTCAAAATGCCATGAATATATGACAAGACATACCTGGCATGATGCCGACATCCGAGTCTATCTTGTATGTCTGGTAAAATAAATCTTTCCACAGGAATTCATCGTGTGACACCCTGTGCCACGATCTGCACACCTCTCCTGCGGTCATTAGCTCCTTCGGCGTTAAATATTGGAAGATATTCAATAGAATCGAGTCGGGCATGTAATACCAATTATCGTCACTCTCACTTTGTTGCGACAAGCATTCGCTGATGTTGTCCGACTCGCTGATATTTTCGTCGACTACCTGACGGTCGTCCGAGGTATTCTCGACGCCGTCCATCGTCGAAATGCGGAGGTTTATTTACTGAAACAGCTGATACCTGTCAGCGACACTGCTGGCAGTACCCTTCGTGCCGAGGATACACGAACTCGACCGAGGTTAGAATTGGTTAGAATCGCGCGCAGCTTTCACGAACGAGTACGTCGTGACTGCAGACTTTCTAGGTAAGTAGCACTGATCGTGACGTAATCTTAGATATACACACACACACACACACATACACTAGAGAAGGCAACTGAGCGATGTAACGTGATGCAATTAAAAAAGAACAGACCTTACATAAGAAATGTAGGACTCTTAAAATACGCACTCGTTCAAATCCAAGAATGGGTATGTACAAATTATTAGGGCTGCGTTCCAATATTCACTATCAGTGCTGAAAATCTATAGTACGTAATGTAAACTATAGATTTTCAACGCTGGCAGTGAATTTTGGAACACAGCCTAGATTATCGCATAAATCGAAAGTGTCGATTGGCTATCGAGTAGAAAAATTCTAGAATCTAATTCGTCCGTTCTAATGGCCCCATACAAAACATGGAAACGCTTACTGCGTGCCAAGAAACGACGCGATAGCCAATCAACGTGCTGTTTTTCCATGAGGACTGAAAGTTTATTGGCTACGCGTCACTTTTTGCCACGTTTCGGCGTTCTATGTGTAGGAACCATAAGGATATATATACACCAATCAATACATGTGTTCCTTTGATTTGGACTTGTATTCTCTGCAATTTTTTATTTCCTTTTCTCGCCAAGCTTATATATAGGGGTATTATATATAAAATTATCGATGTTTGAAAAACAACGATGTTAGCTCATTGAGGATGCGTCGTACGAGTTTGTCGGATGTGCCGATTGGCTATCGAATAGAAAATTTCTAGAGTCCCTATCATTTTCTCTATATATAATACCATCTTCAGTGGGGGAACACCGATGATTTTGACCATCCTTATTCATATATATACTTATTTCATTTTATCTAAGAAAACGCGTTAGAGTGCAACTAAAAAGAACAGATCTAGATATCGACACGTAACTTTTCCCCTAGGAAACATATAAAGAGATATTTTCAAATTAGAAAATTTACACTTTTCACGAGCTCACGTCAGAGAAGAAGATTCATGATCATCCCACAGTGGGTTATGAATCTTCTCTTTTAGCATGAACTTGTGTAAAGTATAAATTTTCTAATTTGAAAATATTTCACGTTTCCGCCCTAGGGAAAAAGTTACGTGATCAATATCTTAGGTTTGTTCGTTTTCGCTGCATCGCTGAACTAGTGCAATAAGTTGAAGTGAGAAAACATATACTTGTCTCGTTTCAACTTATTGCATTAGTTCAGCGGTGCAGCGAAAACGAACAGACCTCTTATTCCTCGTTAAGGAATTCCTAACCTGTTTTAAACCTAACTCAACGTGACCTAATTATTAACTAACGTTACATGGTTTTCCGCTATTGTTGTTTTATAATTAAGTTAGTAAGTTGAATATTTGTAAAAAATTAATTATAAGGAATTAATAAGAAAGAATTACTGTAGAAGTATATACGTTAGAAAATTAAAAAATTGTTCATTTACAGGGAATGATGTTCAATAAACATTAATATTTAGCTAATAGGATGTGTTTTTAATTAATATCTCGTGTTATAACAGAAAGAATAAGATGTTGAGTGCAATTTTGAAGCATCTTGTTCCTGTGAAACCTTTGTTAACTGATATACGATCTATTTGTAAAATATCACAACAATATCTCAAACATAGCAAAAATGTATTTTCTATGGCATTGACAGTTAGAACATTCTTAACAAGAAGTGCAAGGTAAAATATAATTAATTACAACATATTTAGATATAACGGCATATTTAAAAAAAAAACATTTCTTTTCATACTATTTTAATCATGATTATTAGTAAAATTGATATGTGTTGTAACATACAAGATGTTCGTAAAATATTGTTATTCGCTTGTATTTATAAATATGAAAAGATAAAATAAAAAAAAAATATATATATACAACATTAAAACATCAATCGAGTTTTGTAATCGTTTGAAAATGTGAGTCATCTAACTATATTATGAAAAAAATATTAAACTACAAACTTAATATATTATAATTGACAGAAATAACAATAATCCTTAGGCATTTTGTATGTTTTCAAGTTAGAAATATGAAGAAGTTAACTGATAATATATATTTTACCAAATAATATTGAAAATATAGGATATCCGATGGATTAATACAATCAACAAGATTATTCAAACCTAATAAATTGCCGCAAAACTTGTTAGTACGGCATCAGCAAACGATAAAATTGGACATAGATACGAATGTATGCAACAATGTAATCTTATACAAGAATGAAAATCAGAGATATGTATTGAAAGTTCATTTTGTAGCAATTGCACAATTTGTTTGGTGGTCGACAATAGCTTTTTATTCCTATAGGGCATCTTTTTGGGATATTTTCTATACTGATATAACGTTGCAGCAACATCTATACAACCATCTTATAACTCATGTCTTGTTCACTTTATCAGTTATTATTGGTAAGAATTAACTTATTTTTTTTTGCAATAAACCTTTACATTTTGCATGGGGGATTTATATTTTTATCTCGTAATCGCAATTTACTACTGCATATTTTTTCAAAAAATTAAATAATAGATAATTTTTATCCTTATATTCCTGTTTATGATAATATATTTGTTTTCTAGCTCCTCTCACGTATGTTGCAGTTTATGCTTTATTTAGTCGTACTATCAGATATATTGTTCTTCACAAAGGTGGTGAAAAAGTTACGCTTACTACCTCTCATTTATGGAAAAAAAATGATGGTATACAAGTGCCTGTAGGCAATGTAAGAAATCATTCATATAAAAAAATTAGGAGATTAGTCTTATATATAAATGATATAAAGAAAAACTACGAATGATATAATATAAAAGCACAATTGAAAACACCGCAGCTCTTTTCATATTTCTCATTTGAGATATTTTTATTTTTTTTAGGTAAAATGTCTCAGGCACAGGACAGCTACAGGAATTTTTATGCTAGTTAAAGTAAAAGACAAACGTTTCTATTATCTGATTGAGAAGAAGGGAACGTTTCTAAATCCTGAACTTTTTGATTATACGTTAGGATTTTCTCAGTTTAGAAAGTAGTGTTCTTACGTACAATTGTTCATGTTGTGTATAATATATTATAGATATTAAATATTATAGAGTTATAATATCATGTATTTATACTTTGTACATGAAATATAAATATTTATAACCGTGTTCGTTGTGGATTATAGATCTCGTTAATATACTGACACATTTTAAAATAAATTATCACTAAATTAATTAATTAATTAAATAATTAATACCACAAAGAGAATCTACCGCCTTTCCGTGACGTGTTATTTTTGAGATAAAAACAATCTTTCTTACGGATTATTTATTGGTACAAAAGATGTAAAATGTACAATAGCATTGTAGATAAGAAAGAGAAATGTTAGTACAGTATCTACGTATACAGATATACGTAAGTAGTACGTTTTATTGCACTGAGATTAGTTTTTTTCCTTATTTTTCCATCGTCTTTCAAATTTTTCATGGATGTAAGTCGGCAAAGTGACTGGTATTCTAATTAATCTCAACGTTATTCTTCATACTTGGATTAATATCTTTGACTCTGTCTGTCGTAATATTTCCCCGAATATTTACTATATCGGTCACTATAGCCATCATCCTGATACTTGTCTTCAGCTTTATAATAAACTTCGGGCGCTGAACCAACGTGACCCTGCCAGTAACGTGTCCAATATAGATCTTCTGGATTTATATCATGTGGGTGTTTGGCATTTCTGAACACGTGTACGCAGTATACGAGGCTACCAATCAGTGTCAAAAATCCAAACACCAAGAATACTATTCCTAATATCCTAAAGAAAAAAAAAAAAATATTTGTATTACGAAAGGAAGTCTCATAAGATATATCAAATACGATATAATAAGATTGAGATACCAATTATTGTAACACTGTACTTTCTACTCTGCTAATCTAATAGTATAATTTTCCAAAAAAAAAATATAGATCAATATATAGTTTAATATATAAACTGATAGTTTTATGATTAACCCGTTGCGGTCCGCGCTGTATTCGCAATTTCGACCCAGCCGGTCCGCACAGATTTCGCCAATCGCTCATCCGCTTGGTACCGTTTACTTTGGAAAACATTTATGATGCTACACCGCAGCTCTTATCTTATTTCTTTTAGCGTACGATGAAGACTGTCAACGTCGACTCTGTCGCGTCATAGGACGCGTTTGAACGTAACGCTGTTGTGTCGAGTGACGCTCGACATAAGACCGCAACGGGTTAAAACAGTTATATCTGTTAATTTCGGTTTTCGTGAAATATTGCATGTAAATCGTCGTATTAAGGAAACTTGTCAAACGGCGGTTCTTACCACACAACTAGCGGCTGGAAAAATTGTATTACGATAACGAAGCCGAGAGTCACCAGAATCAAACCGAGATTGAGGAGTAACATTAGGCAACAGACGCCTTTAGTATTTGGGCAGAAAGGGTTAGGCGTGGACATGGTTTCCACGATTATACCGCCTTTCCGTGATGTGTGGGTTTTCACTGTCGAGGTGCCCGATCTGCCGGAACCATAGCTGTAATGACTAGGCGCTCTATGGTCCAATCTGGAGCTCGGCGCTAAGCTATGGCGCGATACCCGACTGTTCGTGACACAAAATACGTATTTTATATCGTTGCTTGTATTTATGAGAGCCATATATATTCAATCCCGTGTTGGATACAAATCCGACACGGACGATACCTTATGTCGGAAGTGCCTCTGTACGCGGCACTGGTGACGTATATATCTGAACCATTGTCGCAGATGCTGCCGTGCGAGGCACTTTTACGTAGCGGATGTAAACTATGCTTCGAAGATCCCGACAATACCGAATCGCGAATATTGTGCGCGCTTTTGGATCTCCTCTCCTCTTCCCTGTCGTACTTATCCGCATGATGATTCTTCCTTATTGGCTTCACCTGTAAGGAGGCACGTAATATGTCACGTCAAATAGCGAAGCAGCAGTGCGGAGTGTACTACCATAGTGGTGTGCTCGTTAGTAACGATGTACTCGGACACGGTGCGATCGGAAGGAGCTCTTTGGCTCTCTTCGCCATCCGTAGCGTAATCGCGACCTGCGTTAACGTGATATCCAGGATATCTTGAAGCGTGCATCTTGGCGCGCCTGTATCGATGCGGCGCGCGGAGGACGTTAGAGATAAATCTTCTGCAATCGATTAATAATAGCCGCCTGGCTCACCTGCAACACAGAGGTACGCACGTTTCTTGGAATCTATTGATGGAACTTCTGGCTTACGGTCATTAGAGAATGAAAGGTAGAAAAAAATCGTGCTTACTGCGAGCGTGTGTGCAATGCGATAGAGCTTGTCGTTTCCATTCTTACATATATTATGTACACTTTAGAATGAAACCTCGTGCTTCATGTATATGTGCTATTTATACCGTCAACCTGTAATAACAAAGATCTTTTGCAGTCTGGAATTATTTTGCAATCTCAAGGAGGTCGTAAGGCTCGGTATCGTATTTTCAACGGCGCATCAGTGCAGTCGCTCGTAAATCTCGTATTTATCAAGCAAGAACACGTTTCTATTCTTTGTTTCACTATCTACATGATAAATGTTGATTTGAAACAAAGTTGAGATGACATACATATGTACGAAATATTGTAAATACGAAAATATTATTTTTTATTTGTCTTCTTAGAGTACTGTATTTATGTATCAGTTAATCTAATAAGAGATATACAGAGCATAGAAAGAGGTATATAAGTATTTAAATATGTACGTATGTATATATATTTCGAATATTATTGTAAATTATTAACTTGACACTGTTGTATTTGCAAAACGAAATGGTCAGTAATTCTGAAATTTATGTACGAACCTGCACATATTAATCTTTAATATTACTTTAATAGAGAGAGTGTTATCTTTAATATAACTTTAATAGTAATTTTTAATTACAATTTTATTTTAGAAAATATTAAAAATAGAAAAATTAAAAATAGTACGCTAATCTCTCAAGGAATACATATAAAAAGTGTCCACTTTAAATATCTCAACTTTCAAACAATCCTTTTTTTTCTAATTGCATAAGCAATATTTCGATATAAACATTGCGCAGGTTTTATCGAATTCTTATCAAACTCATTTCGCCTTACAACCTCCTTAAGGAGAAACGAGTCGCGTTGGAGCTTTCGAAAATTTTCAGTTCTGCAGTGCCGTCATGGAGCGATGCTCGATTCCAGCCGCATTTAAATTGGCAATTTGAAGAATTACAACTGTCCATCGCGATTAAATGATACATTGATCGTTAGGCGTGGCGTTCCTTTAAGACGATCGTACTGCCTGCGCACCGATCGATTGCAAAATGGTGCATTATCGTGTGGATTGTTTCTCGGTCGTAGGCAGTGCCTGCGGCACGCTCGTCGCGTTGGTCAAATCCTTATTTAGTACGATGATGTCACTTGACAAGGACGTGTGCAACATCTTCGATCGGCAATGCGCGTACCCTTCGCCTTCGATCGCCCCCTTCTTATTACTCTCGCGACAGAACTCAACTTGAATATCCTTTTTGCAATTAGAAATTAGTAATCGCTCTCTATAAGCGCGTAATATTCCTAGAATATTATATGAATATTATTTAATGTTAAAATAATATTCTTATAATATTCTAAGAATGTTATGTAATATTTCTTAATATTATAGGAATAATCTGTTGATGTTATATGCCCATTTCACATAATATTTTTGGCATACTATAAATATGTTCTTAGAATATTAAAAAGAAATAAAATAATAATATAAAAAATATATATAAATAAAAAAAAATATATATATATGCATAATTTTTTAAATATAAAACATATTATTACATAAAAGTATTTCGATTTTATTAATATAATAAAATAATTGGTATTGCAATACATTTAAAAAAAACTACAGTTTTATATATATATACACATAGACTTTTGAATATTTAAAAAATATATAATATTACAATAACATTAAATAATATTAGCAGAATATTATTAGAATATTAAATCTAATATTCTAAGAATATGCTCAGAATATTACTTAATATTAAATAATATTGTGCGCTTACAGGGTCTTCTCTTGTAATCGCGACTTCGGAAACATCCACGAAGGATCGATTCGTGAAGCACGATACGGTAGAACAGAACGATCAGACGGTTTCGTATCACTCGTCAATCCGGGGATCGGCTGCTGGTTTTAATCTCGCGAAAAATGAATGCGTCGAAACCTGTTGATTGCGAAAAATTCGTTCCCCCGCAAACGACTGTCCGGATAGCACGTGGAGATTGGTTTTAACATTTCTGGATTACTTTCTATTCCTCGCTGTTCCCGACGCTCACGTATCACTGCGCTGCGTAACGATTCGATAAAATACCAAATGTGAAGCGGAAAGGAATCCGATAGTCGTAAAACTGAAACTCGGGGACCTCGGAGCTTTGCGATCTCGCGATTTCTCGCCTTTCCCGTCAAATCGATCTCGCCCTTTCCGGGAGGAAGAAGAAAACATTGAAACGAGCTTTTCCGAGCCGGACGGCGGAGATATCGAAATACCGTTGTCTGCAAAAATATGTCCATTTGATAACCGGTTATTAAAATCCGGCTCCGCCGTCGTTTTTCTCGCGTTATTCGCGTTACTTTTAAACAAACTCTCGGCGGCGACGAGAGATGCTGCGACGAAACGAGAGCGGGGCGCGTCGCTGTGGGCCACGCGCGGCGCGACGCATCCCGCGCGCGTGACGACACGTTGTTTTTCTCGCCCCGAGTGGTGACAAAACAGATCAATCGACGATCGAAGACGAGAAGAGACGAGTCAACGAGGGGAGACGATTCGCCACGCTCTCGGCGGCCGAAGCGCGCGCGCGCGGCACCGAGAGAGCGTCGCGGCGGCGACGACGCACGGATCTCGATCGAGGCCCGCTCGAAATCAGCTCGCGCTGGAGAACGGATCGACCGGTGAACCGATTCCTCTTACCCGCTAACAGCAACCGATTCCTCGCCTCGTGGAGACGCGCTGGCCGCACGTAGAGCTGGATCGCGACATATCGATCGCCCGCTCTCGGCGAACTGATTCACCGCCTCTGGTCCATAGCCGTGCTGTGACTCTCTCTCTCTCTCTCTCTTTGTGACTGTTGCGTCTCTCATGCACTTGTGTGTGTGTGTGTGTCACCAAAGAGCACTCACGACGATCGACGATCGATCCGGTGACGAGGTTCGCGCGGGCCAACGGCGTCGTCGCGCATCGCGTTCGGCCGAAATCGCAAAATCGAGACCCGATCGTCTCGTAGCGAGACGAGTCCGTCGGTCCGTCCGTCCGTATATCGCACACCTCTCTCACTTAGCGCGCGTTCGTTCGTTCGTTCGCTCGCTCGCTCGTTCACTTCCCCGCTGGAATAGCTGGAATGGTTGGTGCTCCCGAGCGAAAGGCGCATTCATCGTAACGTGCGGCTTTTCCACCACGCTTCTGCGACGCCTTTAAAAGGCGAGCTCAGGTGTAGCGCGAGTTGTCCTTCTTATGACCGCCCGCGATCGTTCGTCCGTTCCCCGTGCCGGCGGTGTTCTTCGCCAGAATACCAAATAATCGAGCTAACTTGCGAGATCCCCTTGCCTCGCGACGAGGGGCTTCGTTCCGCGCGAAAAAGCGTCGGAAGTTTATGCTTTGCAATTGTTATTTTGCGTAATAGAAAATGTGCACCTGCTTGTCAAAGAGGGGATCTCTTGCGGCCGTTGAGGCAAGAACGATCGCGGAAATCACGTCGATTGGGATGAGACGGTCAAACAAAACATATCCTTGTACAGTGCGTACGTTTACGCCGTGTATTAACGCCATCGAGTTTTCCGTCGCGTTACCTGGAAGACTACGATTTTTGCAATAATGTTCTTTTCAGGATGAGCGATCGGTGAGGATGCGGGAGAAGATTAGCATGTGAAATTATAAGGTCGGTAGGATCCAGCTCCGGAAATTCGTTATCGCATTCACGCGTTAGAAATGATTGTCATACATTTTCGAGAAGCAGAATGGAAGACTTTCCGTATAAAATAATTGCTTTATATGTGTCTACTTTAATTTGAGAGAGAATCCGATGAGAAATAAGTCCTTTATGTAAAAATCTAGAATCTACTAACTAAAAGAGAACGCAAGAGACATTCGTATTTTTGTAGCTCCTGGTACGTACGCATGCGCGCGAAATATCGTCGATGGAGAACTGCGCGCCAAACCAAAATCTTGTCTGTAAATGTCCCGACGACATATTATTATTGGTAAATATTATTCGTTTTCCATAGCTTTTTTCGACCATTACACACATCTCCTGCGAAATTTGACATTAATGGAGGGTTCATGATGTCTCAGCACGGAGCTGCTCTGCAAACGTACAACCAGGAGCTCGTTAAATGTAAGCAATATCGCCTAACCTAAAAATTAATATGGACAAATCTTAAAGTATTCGACAATGTTCAATTATCTTGTCCAGTTGTCTTGGAGGTCATTCGATTTCCTCTAAGATAACAATCAGTTCTCTTCGTTTGTACTGATCTAATTCCCGTGTAGATCAGATTAATTTAGTTACTTATATGTATACGTAATGAGTTTTTTATAGGTTTAGAAAAATTGAAACTGAGGCGAACAGAGCTCCAAGCTCAGATAGAGTCCCAGGAAGAAGAAAAGAATAATTTACAACGTGAAATCGAGAAATTGTCGTGTAAGCTCGCACTTTTGAACGACAGTCTGGCAAAGAGAATCGCGGTTAGAAACGAATATGACAGAACAATATCAGATACTGAAACAGCATACATGAAAGTAAAGATTGTATTTTTAACTTAGTATAAGTATTGTCTTCACAAAACAATATTTATCTCTTACAAATTATATTTTCGGCATTGTAGATTCTAGAGAGTTCGCAATTATTGCTCAACATGATAAAGAAAGAAGTTATAAGCCTGGATCAGACTTTAGTGGAGGCAAACAGTGACAAGCAGCAGCATCGACAATAGGATACCAATCACAACTTAAAATAAAAAGCAAGATGAATAACAGAGATATATATTTATTGAATTACCGGTGAACATTATCACAGAAACATAGTTATTATTGATTGACACGTAAAAAATTGTGTATACAAGCTTTTAGCATCATTAGTCACTCTAAAGCTAAATTACTTTATGATCATAACAAAATTTAGATCTGGGCAGTTGTAATATTAACGTGTTATATTCTATGAGACTGTGTATATTCAATATATATAATCTATTTTAATATATAATTTTAAGAAAAAAAAAAGTGATATTTTAATATTTAAATATAATGCTTAAAATAATACCTGTAATACCATAAATCAATTTTTTTATTGCAAGATATTGCAATCATTGTACGTGTGTGTACATAAGACTGATCATATATAACACGAGATCTATTCTAGAGATGAAAATATCACCAGGTATATCTTTTATATAAACAATAAATGGAATTTCTTATATGTTACTATAGCATATATAACCATATTCCCTTCAAATATGTTCGTATGCCACTAAGATTGCAATAAGTAACGTATCTATTAGGTAGTAATTTTGGCAAGAACACGCAGTGTAATGTTTGATTTTTCGCCACTCTAATGGAGAGTATATATTACTGAGATATTCACGTGTGAGTGTGTGGATAATATATCACACTTGTACTACGTTGCAAATATATTCTTACGTTAATGACTACGAATTTAAGCGTTTCCAAGAGCCTTCTGTTCGTTCCATACTTGTAGGAGCTCGTTTGGATCTCCGTACCCATGGGATGCTATGACATATTTATAATTGTACTTCGTATATTCTTTCTTATAAAAGTGAAAGTCCTCGCAATGAAACGGCTCTATTTCAGCTTTCTTTGCTACCAGGCCTAGAAAAATATCGTCGAATCTGAAATGTTTGGTGTAAAAGCTAGTGTAATACATGTCTAAGAGAGCCTCTTTGGATAGGACGTATGCACCGGCTGTGACGTACGGCGGCCATAGATGGTACGGGTACTCCTTCAACGAGACATACCACTTGGACGATTTATGCCGGTGCGGTGAGGATACAAATACGAATCCTGAAAATAGCCTAACGTCGTCTGGAAGCTCGAAATCAAAAAGCTGTCGTTTCGCTCGACTCAACACGGACGTGTTCGACCCAAGTAACTGTTTACTTTCCACACCAAAGTTTTCATTAACTTGCTTATCTTGCCCTTTATATGCATTGCTTCTCGAATTGTTGTTATCTGCCGTTTCATCAATGATGAAGCTTGCCACAGACGATCTTTTATCGATCGTTGCGTTACGCCTTCCACTTGCGTTATCAAAATTACCAATGTCCCTTTGAAAAGCTATCAAATCGGCGGAACTAATCTCCCTTTTGTGTGCGGCTAATTTCTTGGGTTCTTTAAAGTAACCTGGATACTTAGCCGGATTTCTGACAAACCTCAATGCGTTTTTCACCGATATGTACATATCGTCGTCGCAGAACATGTAAAACTTCGAATTAGAACAATATTTTACTACCCACTTGAAGCCCATCATTGTTTTTATGGTGTTGTTGTAATATGAGTCTATAAAGTCTGCTTGTACAATATCTTTGTATTTCGTCGCTTCTATTTTTAGTTTCGCTTGTAATTCCTCGTCATCCGGATGCGTGCCCACTAAGAAAATGGTTCTCAGCGGCACATCGAAGAATCTCTTTTCGTATCCCCATGTCTTACGTATGGCAGCTCTCCTTTCAAAATGTTCTAGAGCAGTTTTCACCACGTATACAACATGGAATGTACTATAGCCAGCTTCCGTGCACTTTTGGGGATTATGCAGCAGAAAAGGATACTTATATTCATTTATAGGCTCAATATTAGGCTTTTCATTATGTCGCAATGCATCCGCTAACTCTTGTATGTTGCCTTCGTATGGATAAACAAAGTTCTCATCATACGTTATTTCAAATAGATGTGTGAATGCTCCAAAAAAGTCCAGCAGCACAATCGCGCCGAAACAAAGTAGCACATACCGTGGCTTAACTTTTAATATGAATAAACACCTTTGTAAACAAGGTCGAAGTAAACAGTACATTGTATCAGCAAGAGATCTACATATTTAGAATATCTCCCTCTGCAAGCTCTGTCAGCCCTGCAACAGAAACTTTATTCATAATCGATTCTATATTTGTCATCTGTTTGGTCGGTATATATGTAGGGTATATATGTAGTTATAATTTCATAATTAAATTATATCTCTCATATCCAAATGCGAAAACCTTTGAAGGTAAATCTGGCAAAATTAGAATAGTTAGGATATATTTTGTACTTCACATCTATGAATTATAATAATAATTATGTATAATTAGAGAAGAGAGAGCTTTAATTATATAATTATTCAAAAATTTGCTAAAAATGGGCACATTATCGAATTTCATAGAAATCGATGAATAGTGTGCTTAGCACATTTATCATACCTTGTTCAAATATATGAAAGAATGCATTATATCTTATGGATAAATATTCCGTTTTAAAAATATAAATGTACGAATGCAACATTGTTTACTTTCTTATTTAGCACCATTTAACCTATTTGCTTCAAAACTGTCATAAGGGCGAAAGTGAAGAGTGGCGCCACTGCAAGGAACTTATTTGAACTAAAAAACCGATCATATTGCGGTTTCGTCATTTGATAACTGTACCGACTTGATTTATCTACTTGTAGTTTTATGCTTTGTCGTATAAATCTTTCTTAGAAAATTTTATGGTGCGACGCTTTAATATTTTTCAAATAATAGCGAATAATACTTAATTAGTTCGTATAATATTAACTGCAGCAATTTAATAAATGTTTCAATTAGTAAATTCACATCTATAAAATATAATTTCATATTCAAAGGATTTCAGACGTCTCATGTCCCAATTTTAGACATTATGTTGCCTGAGAAATCGTTATTTTAGGAAACATCGAGAAAATTTATTCCATTTATACTCCATCTATTCCATCTTGTTTTCTTAGTGTAAATAATCACTTCTCATCGCTTGCATTACGATTTCTGTTGAGTATTTCGTGTAATACTGAATAATTTCGAATGCATTTTTGTTTTGTCCGCTACTTAAAATTTTCTTTTTTGCTTTCAAGTTTTATATGTATATATGCGCGTAATTAGAATGACTACACACAAATCTCTAAAGAACGTCTTAAAGACGTCCTGAGGACATCTCTATGTCCTAAGGACATTTACAGGACGTTCATCGGTGTGCTATATGAGATGATCATAGATTATTTAATTTATGTATATTTTTACATTCTGATTGTTTTCTTTAAAATTTATTTTATAAGTAAAGTTACAATCTCCTTACAAAAAACAAAGGAACCGTGAATTTGGCGCAGGACTTTCATTCTAATTATTTTTTTTATGTAAATACATTATCGCGTGCGCCTTTTTTTGAACTTCCCAGATTTGTTTTGTCGGATGCATCTAATTTTTCGAACGTTACAGTTATCGCCGATACACACTCTATTCCCGTCGTCGAAAGTTTCCGTTTGGTTGAAAATTATTGCGGGGCGAGGAGATGCCTCGATTGTTTTTTTCGGTGTCCAAATCGCGCGCAGTATAGATGCTACCTGTATGCCTTGTCACTCGCGTTCAACACTTGTTTACTCGCCTTGTGTTTGCGGATATACTCGATGGCTCGGAAGGACGCGCAGTTTACGTTTTATTTCGACTCGATTGGCTACCGATTGGTAATTCAGAGTTAAAATATTTTTGAGTACGATTTGAGAAAGGTGTCTGTGATTTTTTTGTTAAATGTAACATCATCTATACGACAATGTTAATAAAATTTCAATCGTTGCATTACAAAATGTGTGCTAGTAATATCCTCCTTCTGTCCTATATATTTCGATTTAATTTCAAATTCGACGTCGAAGCTTATCACTTTTCTCAGAATCTATAAAATTATTATCACCATCATCATTATTATTGTTTTAACACTGTAAATATTTCTGAAGTATATTTCGTTGCTATCTTATCCGCGGACTCTTTCCTCTCCGCTTTAATTTCAAGCTCAGATCGATTCACTCGTAACGACGTCTTTGTGTCTCCTTTTTCAACAATGTTATTTTTATACTTTGCTCTTCCCCAGCGTTTTCGTCCAGGAAATCTCTTTGCGACATGGCCGGTCTGCCAGGTCTGCAGTCAATCGTTCATTGCGCGTTGATATTTGAAGAGGATCGTCCCTTCTCAGCGGCCGAGTGGTCTTTGTCGTACTTTCGAAGCGCGACGGCTGTTTATTCGCCGATTATGACGCGTACAGCTGGCGCGGTTTAGTAAATTCCTTCTTAAATTTTTTCTCCACCGTTTTGCTTAACCGCTTGCTCTTTACGGCGATTGATAACGCCGTTGACGGAGCGTTCTTCGACGCTCCAGACTTATTTGCCGTTAGTTTTTATTGATCGGTTGAGTGGAAATGCGATCGAGCGAGGGAAATGTCTTTGACGATGTTTTCTGCTTGAAGGAATTAACCATCGTCGTGGGGACATTCTTCGACGATGATTAGGCCATCGATTGATTCTCATAACGGGTGGGTGTTTAACATTTCCGTTGAATTCCGATTGATTTCTCCCCGACGGACGTACTTTTTAAATCTACGGCATCATTCACGGCGGCAGAATAATTTGGATATTAAAACAATTCTCAAGCGGTGACGAGATCTCACGCGGTAAATGCGCACATCAATGACGAGAGATCTTGTATTTGTTCATCTGAATAATTACTTGGATTTCCTATCGTTTGATACGTTTTGCGTCTGTCTTACCAAACAGTTCTGCGATATTTGTAGCTCATGAATTGGTTCTATTCCCCGAGAAAACGGAGCGTCTGATCATATTTGGAAACTTGCAGATTGCAAAGACCGAAGAATTTTTCAAGATGATCCAAAATCGGATGATCGACGATAAATTTGCAGAAATAAAGGTTTGATGCGTTCTTCCAGTAGCATTAAACATAACAGTAACATACGATAGTCTGAATGATAAGAGAAAACGATGACGATGAAACATTTTCTAATACCACTTGACTCGATTGGAGGAAAAAAATAATTATCAAATGAGGTGAAACATCGAAGGGTTCATGACCTTTTACCGTGGCCTTTTGCTCACGATAAAATACGAAACTAACGTTTCAAATGTAAATATATCAGTTTATCGTATATCTTTGTCACCGCAGCTTTTTGGAAAATCAATGAGAGCAATGGTACGATATGCGCAAGGCTTTCATATATTTTCTTCCCAATTGCTGCACGTAAATTTTTTGTGCGCGTACACGCGCATATTATGTCATTACTATTTATGATAATGGACCAAAGTAATTCTGAACCCGTGGCATTTCTTCCAGCAACAAAGTAAGAGCAATAGTGAAATTATTATGGCATAAAGGTAACTTGTCAAATAATCACGGTAAATCTTTGGAAAATAGTGATTAACAATTCCAATAAAAATTTCCTTTTAACGTAACATTTATTCAACAAGTACCACGATTGCCTCGATCGCAATTGTTTTTCTGAGTTTTCTTTCGTTACATAATGTTTACAATATCCGCACATATCGGACGGACAACAATTAATAATAGATCCCTATTACTTGTTCCGGCAGTTTGACCTGATTTAATAAAGGGTTCAGCTGCTGCGTATTTAAATAAACCTCGTACCATCTCGACGGCATCCTTGCCGGAGTTTGCGCAGTGCCTGTTTTCCTCAGCAACAAAGCTGCGAGGTGTATACGCCGCAGGTGAATCTACTAGAATCTATCATGCCTTTATCGAAGATAGATTTGCGACGAGGCTCGAGGTCCGTGGGAAAGCGAACGAATGTGTGTGTGACAAGAGCGTGAGACGTCGAATGATAAAAGAGCCTTTTAAATCGCGTGATCGAAAGTACAAGCTCGTTGAAAATACGCCGATCTTAACTAACTAATATCACCAATAATTATTAACATTAACAATGCTGACTGGAGTGATCGACGGGTTCGTATACAATTCGTAAATTTCTTTTCCTAGAAACAAATCACGCTATTGTTATTGCGTTAATCCTTAAAAAAATAGTTAGCTAGTTAAAATACGGGCGAATTAACACTGTAAAATAACAACCTTGTTAATGATTATACGTCAGTGTGTCTTCAGTGACAACGTTGTCCGTAGTATAATTGGCCGAACTTGTCTTTGGTCACTTTTTTCACATCCTGACGATGCGACGGTACTTTTTAGAACGCTGCTATGTTGCGACAACTTCACCACCGGACGCGTGTCCGTCGAAGACGACGTGATTCGAAATCGTGCGATTTCGTCTCTGGTGTGGACGTCTTACGGCATTGTAGTCCCAATTATACTGACCGTGGGCATTTTCGGTAACGTGGCGATCCTAATTGTGCTGTCGGGCCCGATGTTTCGCGGGATTGCCTACTTGTACCTCAGCGGACTCGCGCTGGCGCACGTCGGTGTTGTATTATCTTGGATGACAATCAGTTTGTACAATATTGTTCTACGGACAAACAATTCGGAGGGGGTGCATCGAGAGAAGAGCCGCACGAACGAAACGAGCGATCACGGAGGAAACAAATTTTGCTAGAACAGCGAATGTTTGTCAATATAGCGGCAGCAAAGAGAAATTTGTTTAGGCGGCGAAACATTGGTTTGGAAACATCAGAAAGATTTGTCAAGAGTATTAATTGCTATTTGCTGGATACATGGACAATTAATACTCTTAGCAAATATTTCTGCTGTTCGAACCAATTCTTTGCTGACTGAATAAATTTTTTTCGCTACACCGACAGACGTTTGCTGTTTTAACCGAAATTAGTTTTCTTCGTGCACCGCGTGTCTGAACGAATATCTAATTAATTGAACAAGTCATTACATGATTACATTACAGTGGCGAGGATTTAGTTCGCTCGACGGCCACGATTATTGACGCGATTGTATCGGCGAGATTTACCATTGCACCAATGTGTCGGGATTAACACGTTCATTGTCAATCACGCGATATCGCGCGATGCGAGTTCTCACAAAACGGCCGATCACGCGTTATCGCGTAATAGATACTTAGAGTACGTAAATCCTATGTACATAATAATAAAAGCATATGAATAATATATTAATTTATTTTGAGCACGATAAAAACTAAATAAAAAAATAAAAAAAATACGAAATTCCAATGTTCAGCTTGGCAATGAACGTGTTAATGATGATTTGCTTGGGCGAGAGGAAGCGGTTCTTTTCTCGGTACAAAAGGTACACATGGCGTGTCGCATGTGATACGATTACATTTCAGCGCTGAGATTGGGCTACGGTATGAGCGAGAATTACCTATTAGCCTTTTACCACGCTCACTTCGAACTCGTTATTCTCAACGCCTTTTCGGCCGCGAGCGTTCTCATCATGGTCTGTTTAATCGTCGATCGATATATCTTCGTGTTCTTCCCAGCGCGCATTCGTACCGGAAATGCGCGTAAGAATGCCAGCTCCTTCATATTGTCTTCGTTCATCGCTGGCTTCATGGTAAAAGTGTCCTCGCTGGACCTCAATTCTCTTTATTATTTTCTGACAGTGATAAAATGACAATGTAACCAACAATTGTTATTACATATCGACAAATGTGTGTAATAGCTCTTGTGCAGGATATCGTTAAATTTGACTTCTTTTTTTCTAGATAAGTGTTCCGTTGTCGTCTATGAGAATCATTTATAAAGAGCAGGATGGATCCAGCGCTTCGTTCATATTACACGAGAACGCGTCTATTACGCGGAGTGTGATATGGAGGATATACATTTGGACGATGGAGATCGCAGTGCGGATTTGCCCGTCAATTCTATTTATCGTACTGAATAGTTTCGTCATTAAGAGGTTCCTTCAGCTGAACGCGCAGAATCGACAGTTCCACGCGGTCTCGGATAAATATCGGGGTAACAACGCGCCTGACACGTCGCTACTGTCTCGTAATCGAGGATACAAGTAATAATACAATTTAAGGCAAATCCTTTTGTATTTTAATTTCTAACGATGAATTTATGAGACGCGCAAAAATGAAGTCATAAATAGTTCTGTCTACTCCTTTTTTTTTTTTTATAAATCCAAATATATTTCGACATTAAGGTCGAAAGGATCGCATTTCTTCTCAATATTCGAATTTATCCAAACGATTTATAATCATAACGAAGGATTGAGACTCTCTCTCTCTCTCTCTCTCACTCTTTCTCTTTCTTTGTAATATTCCTAGTTTCATACACAATACTTGTGAATAACTTTGCAGAGAGGAGCAACATTTGGCGATAATGACGACAACAATGATATTGTGCTTTTTCGTCACGACATTACCGTCAAGTCTGGTGCCGATGTTGTATCCTAATCGTCATCCGCTGGATCTTCGTTATCAAACCTTCCGAGTGTGCTCGGCAATCGTTGAACTCGGCAATTATGTTGTTTATATTCTCATATATCTGGTTTGCAGTACAGAATTTCGAAGAGCATTGCTGCGATTTTTACAAGTAAACATCCAACACGATTGTGACTATTTTTATCTCGACTTATGATAAGTAAGAAATAGAACTGATTTAAGAAAATATATATCTCTGGTATTACCATATAGTAGTTTGTATAACTCATACATGTAAATAAGGGAAAAATTATTTTCACATTAATCTCATAATTTTGGTTCACAGGGTAGATGTAATGAAAATATAGTGCAAGATACTGATCAGCCGGTGGGTGAGATCGAAGATTTCAGCCGACACGGCACCACTGTTCGACTAACACCGGAACATACAAAATTAAATTCTTCTGAATCTCCAACTAGCAAAGAAGCTAAGATGGAGGAAGATTCTCATTCGTTAGATGCTACAGCTTCCATGTTGGAACACCAAGTCATTGCATAATTAAATCGTGAAATGGAAGCTAAGAATTTAGTATTTGTATTTATTATTATCATGATGAATTGTACATTTATAACGCATCCACCCTTCCCTTCCTCACCTGATTGGAGCTACATTGAATCGTTGGATAGATCGGAAGTAATATATCAAATATAATTAAATTTGATTATATTTTTTCTTAGCATTTCTCTAAAATTGTAAACAATTGTGTGTCGTATTTTATATTATCTAGCTTTTCTCGAGAGAGATGAAATACTCTCTTGTATGACATAATATGTATTAAAGTATATATGTAGTAAAGTTACTTAACTTAGTTTTAATTTAGTTAATTTTAAAATGGGTTAATTTATATCATTTAATTTAAACTATTTATTTTTAACTGCAACTTTTGAACACTTTATTTTTATATAAATTAAAATATTTCTTCAATGATTACTTTCTAGTAAGGAACACAGAAGGCTACATTCAGCGGAAAAAGCAGATCAATGAACGCTCAGTGATTATTCTTCTGATAAACTACTGTGATTGGTCAATTTCCTTAAAGTTTTAAAGACATTGCTTAGAAAGCCTCTTAAGAAAATAAACCAATCAAAATCCTTTGTTTCTATCCGCAGATGTATTCCCTTATGCGTTATGCAGAAGCATCTAAAAGGAACGCAGCCATAGACGAGATTTTACATTGGAGGAGTGGGAGTAAATCGGTGGATTGACGTTTCTCCGCTGCATGAAATTCCAGCTTAAAGTTTAATGGATATTCCTCGATGAGGAATCATGAAAATGGTGTAGGAGGAATGCCACCGAGCTTCTCGTAACCAAAAGTGAGAGAGAGAAAGAGAGAGAGGGAGGGAGAGATATGAAGAATCATAACCTAAACTGTCAAAGTGCTAGAGATATACATATTCTGACTTATTGATTACGGTGTATAATCGTATAATAATTTTATCTGACTCCGTATTACGCTATTTTCATAAGTATATTCAAGCATTATTTATATAAAAGAATTGATATATTAGAGAATTAAAAGGAAAAAGTTTATTATAGAAATACAAAAAGAAGTCTCATATTCGCAATCAAAGTTATCATCTTACATACTGTAATGACAACGCGTTTAGCAAATGATTTTTCAAATGATAAGTGATATTTGTGAGTCATGTAATACTTGACTATTATTTATCTTCCCAAGCAATAAAAAGACTCTCCATAATGTTTGAGTTACCAGCAGAATTGACAGCTAAGCCCTTAGCTCTGATAGGTTTGACAGGATTAGATCTTAGATGTCCGGTACATGGATCTATCTGGGATGCATTTAATAACAATCGTAGATCAGAAGGTGCAGCAGTTCAGTTTAAACTGCTCAGTCTGTCACATGAATTTCCTACTGTTAAACCAAAGGTATAATATACTGATCACTAAAACAGTATCCCTAAGAAAAATATCACTTAAACTGAAATTAATTTCTTCATATCGCTATGTATCGTATTTATACACTTTAGCGTAGTTCATATGAATGGTACATACCTAAAGGGATATTAAAAAGAAATTGGATGAACAAATATCTCAATGACATTCCTTCCGTGGTTGTTGTATTCTATGATCTGGACTGGAGTGATCCTTTGTGGAATGAGAAAAAGATGGAATGTGCCTCTAGAGTACAGTCTTTGAGGTAATAAAGAAGTTGTCATAATATATTGATTGTGTACATTGTCATATTGTTGATACACTATTCAATTTAATGTTATACTTATCAGAGCTTCCCTCGATGGGAGAAGTACCAAGATAGCTGTAGTACTGATACAGCGTGCTATTCAACCACCACCTGGTGCTGAAGATGTGGTCGCGACTGAGCGTGCAACAGCATTGTGTGGCGCTTGTGACTTAACGGCAAAGTTTTTGTATATTCTGCCACATGCTGATCACTTATTGGGATATACATCCAGGTTCTGGATTTTATATTTATCACTCTCATGTGTTTTCTTCTTAAAGAAAACGATGTAATATTTTATCTTACAACAGGCTAGAAACAGCGTTTTATGATCTTGCACAAAACTTTTATCATCATGAATATCGCAATATTAAAAGCCACCGCGATCAGCTCACTAAGAATGTCCATCAGTACTTGTTTGTTCGTCATCAGTTCAAAATGGCATTCTTAAATGAACTCAAGCAGGAACAACATCTTGCCCAAAAGTAAGATTAGATTGGAACAAAGAATTCTTATATATATTCTGAGATCTGTGTATATATATATATATATATATATGGATGTTTTGTAGACATTATATGCAAGCTTACCACAATTTGTTAGAAACGAGAATGACAGATGCAAATGCAGTGGAGATCAAAACTATTGCTAGTTTTATAAATTATAAGTTATGCAAGATAATGTTTAGCTTGAATCTCCCGAAAGACGCCATCTCTCAATTTAGGCTTCACACGGAAAGGTATAAACATTTGCACTGTGATAATAGTGATCTTTTGCAAAATTTCTAAAATTTTGGTTATAATGATTCATTAATACTGACAGATTTAAGTTAAAAACTGGACCAAAGGAGCTCATGTTTGAGCATCATGCTTGGATGAGTAGTCAGTTTTCTACATTCGCGGAATTGTTCGATGAGGCGATTCGTCAAGGGTTACCCGCTGTTCAAACACAACATCCGGGATATTATTTCCAATTAGCTGCCAATCACGCAGGTTTGCGACAGTCCGCGTGTAAAGAATTGTGTCAGGTATGAATAGCTTCCTAATAATTGCGTTAATATTATTCTCAAGTGTTTGTATCGTTGAAATTTTAATAAAGAAGAGCAGGTAGTATTGTAGTTCTTGTAGATATGATGGCCTCCTTAATATTTCCGCTATTAAGTGACGAATTCTAGATGGCGATTACTTTTCGAATCGTTTGTTTAGTAGCCTTATATATATATAATATTTCTTCTACTTTTTCTTAGAATGTAAATAGCTATCCAGATCCCGATCCATTAGCAGGTGAGGAGAAACTTGAATTTTATGGACAACGTCCATGGCGACCTGGAAAACTGAGTGCAGAGCCTGCGGATACAGCCAGAGAAATTATTGGTATACAGGCTTTACAATATAGAGAGAAAACATCAGTCAATCACTCTGTAAGATAATTATACACTTGTATATTTTTAAATCCTTCGACCGCACACTTCTGGAAAATCATGAACAGGGTCATATTGACCTTGTGTGATTTTCTAAACTCCATATCTGAAAAACTGTAAGAGGAAAAAGGTTGACGAAATTCTAGAATAAAGTGTAACTCTTCTACTTTAATGTTTGATTATGTATTCAAGGAAAATTAAGTTTTAAGTCACTGAAAAAAAAAATTCGAATTTTCGGCACCTCTCTTCGTTATAGTTCTTCAAACATAATTCACTGAATTTATATTTGACTCATAATGCGGTCGAAGGGTTAAATAAACACATAATCAAAAACTACCACTATGATAAATGCGTATTGTTTCAGATGATAATTATCGGTTTGTTAGGAAATGCGATATCGCAATTCAAAGTGTATCGTTGCCCACGGATGCGGCGATTATTAGGTATAATTTTTTTAACATTCTTTTACGAACAAAAGGGTGTAGCAACAATTTGCGAAAATACTTATATGATTTTTTTCTTTAAGTTGTACAAATGGCAGAGGAATACTTCAATGCTCAGGATTACGGCAAAGTTCTGACGTGAGTTAGAGATAGTTTTCTTCTCTTTTGCTTGTGCAATGAAAGGCTGTCCTTGGCAAGTGATGCTTTGTCATTAAAACGGCAAAGTCATTGATCCTGACGTTATTTCCTCTAGACCATTTTCTTGTGTTAACGTCAAAATCGTAAAATTTGATTGGCCAGATTGTTGATGCACATGTTATGGGATTATCATGGGGAACGGTGGCCGGTCTTACTGACAGATATCTTAAAGAATGCACTGCGGGCCGCGTATCTGTCGACTAGTATCCAAGATTATCTCACTCTGGCTCTTGAAGCTTTGGGACCCTCCACTACATTCTCAGAGGAGAGCGGCAAAGCTATTATTTACGATAATATTATGAATATATTGCAGGTAACAAAGTTTGAGAAATCACTTATCTTTGATATTAGCCATACGCTATATACGTAACGTGTAACACGCGAGGTGACTTTATATCTGATAACAGAAGAAACCACCGAATCCGGAACCAGACTTGCCGGACGATGTTAAGCATCTGGCAATGGAGAAATGGGCATTGGAATTAAGTTGTCCAGAGCCGAGCATTTTCAAGATCGACGACAACAACATGACGTCGCTCGTTGATCTTAAAGCACGATTTCTAAAGCCGACTTATGCAGTGAATACGATGATAACGGTGGAAGTTATCATACGGTATTATTTTGCGTTTTAATCTGTCTACTTGTAAAGATATAGAGTTTCCAACAATTGTAGAATTTAATAATTTTTGTACAATAATTTTTTTGGACCGTGTGCAGGAACTCCTACTGTGGTATCGTAGAGTTTACTAATGTGTTGATAACAGTCAGTGGTCCAGGTTATAACGTCGAGATTCCAGTCAGCGATACCCAACTGTCTAACCTTGTTTTTCAACCCAAGGAAACGAAGAAGTTTTATTTCAACTTTAAAGCGCCCCATCAAAGCGTGGAGATTCGCATTAGCACAGTTTCACTACAGATGGGCGATAGTGCACATTGTTGCATCATACTGAGATGCTCGGCTATGGGTAGGGAGACGAATCTGTTTGATCGTTTGTATCCTGAGATACAACAACTTCGGTGCGTTTATATAGAGAATAATCCTTTTAGTATCTGTTAAACATTTCGAAAAAAAAAAAAAAAAAGAAAAGAACTAGTATAACTGCTGCCTGTTCTAGCGGAGGCGAATTTGAGGCAATAAGGCCGTTGGTCCATGCGGAAATCAAACAGGAAGAATCCAGTTTGAATATACACGCAGAATCCAATAATCCTGCGCTTTTAGGCGAGTGGCTACCCATCATCATTTCTCTATCAGCGAACGAGGATGTAACTGCTGTTTCTTTACATACAACACTCGTACCAGATGGTGGCAACGAGCAATCAAGTATATTTCCATTATACTTTGCCTTTTCTCGTCATAATGTATCATTTATGTGTCTGGTATTTGTTTAAAAAACTAAATCATTTTAAAATGCATATTTCAGCCGAGCTGAGCTTAGATATGCTTAATAAACAGTCAAAAGCGTCGATTCCTGTGAACAATCTGAATAAAGGTTCCTCTGTCAAGCACACAGTATACATTAGGGCACATAAAGTGGGCGATAGAAATATCGTAGTGAAGGTATGCTCGCGAGTCAATATGCCAACTAATTATGTTGTGGGAGAGAGAATGCGCTATTATTATATAACACAATTATATAACAGGCAGAGTATGCTAGACCTGAACAAGTCAAGGGGAATAAAGAATTGACATATACGCTGGCGGTTAAGAAGCCATTCGAAGTAACAACGCAGTTTTACACCACACTGTTCGAGCCATTAACAAATGGATTTGTTAATGAACCATTTATCATTATGCCTCATGTTACATGCGTCTCTCCGTGGCCTATAAACATTTTAAGTACATCTATAGAGCTGGTAAGCTCGTAATACGTGCTTATGTAATTGGATATATTTCTATATGACGTGTTAGGGAGAGATTAGAATGTAATGATTTCATTCGAAATTAGGCGGATTCTATTGAAAGGGAGAACAATCTGGACAATGAAGAGTCCATTTTAGCGGATGTTACACTGTGCGATGGTGAAGCGGGGACTGACGCCTATTGTTTGATTCCAAAGATAGGCGGCGAGCAGCCTATCAGCACCGGAGTGTACACTATCAAATGGAAGAGGTAGAAAAGACGACTGTTGAATGTTCACAACAATATGTATATCTGTAATCTATTCGTCTTAACATTAAGTTTATCTTAATTTCAATTTCGTAGAGCAAACGATGAAACCGCGTTGGAAACTAGCAGCAGTGTAACCCTGGCTCCTCTATGTGTTGAAGACGCGGTGATCGGATTGGAAGCCAAAATGCCAGCTCACGGATGGGTTCGCACACCATTTTGTATATCTTATTTTATAAAAAATCATTCCGATTATCTGGTCACTTTGCGCTTAGCTATGGAAGGCAGTGATGCCTTCATGTTTGCCGGACAAAAACAGGTAGGTGTAGATCTCATATTTGTACAATAATTCTTAGAACGTGTGCAATAATTTGACCGTGCATAATTTGGTTTTTCTTCAGGTTGACGTTTATATACTTCCTAGAAACGTACGGAAAGTTGATTGGGTTTTACGACCACTGGTCGCCGGTTTCGTCGCTCTTCCAACGTTATCGCTAACGGTTCCTGCAGGTAATGACGTCAACTATATGTAGTAAGTCCGAGAATCCTTGATATCTCCACATTCGCTTAAAATAAGCTTATGACACACAGATGAGGAGCACAAGATTGGTAAGGCACGTCTGTCAGAGGTGGTTGAACGTTCGTTGCCGAGTCATATATACATATTGGTAAGTGAACATGATAATCAATGATCTCATTGTCCGTTTAATGGCTACAATAATGCTGTATTGTAACACGCATGATATTCTTGCAGCCGAAATCGCAGTCTCTAGCAGAATGAGCGTGTTCGATATATTGGGATCCTTTTCTTATAAGAAATATCGTAATTTTTTATCAAACTGTATCGTAAAATTAGCCGTACATTTCGAACAGACAAAATTCGATAAGTTGTAACCTGTTGAATATAATTTATCTGAATTATTTTACATCCAGTCTCTCTCTCTCTCTCTCTCTCTCTCTCTCTCTCTCTCTCTCTCTCACATATATATAGCTTAAAGTAGCCTAAGAAAATATAAAGTTTTAATAGACATCCGTTAAATGGCAGTGACTATATCGCCGTTATGTTACGGCTCGTACATGCATAGATATCGATCGCCTTTATGAGCGTTAGGTCGCTGCGTCACCGTAGAAACAATACGACCGACGATAGATACATCAGTAAGCGTGAAGTAATTTTCCTCTTCTACGTTTCCTTTATTAAAGCACGTTTTCTTTATTGTACCTTAATCGGTGATCGTGCTGAAATTAGTTTCTAGAGGACGTTAAATATTCTCGCGCACATGTACAGTGAGCCGTGATGGTGCTGTGAAATGGCGAGGAGCGGCAATATCGATATCAGAAGCGTTTTTGAGGGGTACCTGCAAAAAGAACGGCAATTCGAGCAAGAAATAGAAGAATGGTATTTGATAATTACTAGTGTTTATTGACATATCGTAATTAACATGTGTGTAATCTTGCGAGCAATTATCATATTCTGTTTTATTTTACAGTAACAAATTACGTCGCGAAATACGCAGTAGAAACGTTGTCAGAGTTTCCGACGCGTCCTCGACGAGTCTTCTCGTAAATTTGGAAAAATCTCGCGTTCGTAATCAGACTCTTTTAAAGGTTTGTTATAATATATTATTATATTTCTTTTTTTTTTTAACATCACAAAAGAAGACATTTTTTCGCAGTAGCGTTCAATTTCCGTGGAATTTTGGAAATCGCAAATTATATGTGTTGGAAATAATCATCGTTTTGGAAATAATTCGTGATCTATCTGTTAGTAAACGATCGATATGATATTTAACTGTAATTAATTATTTTGTTACGCCTTTCGTGCTTGATTTACCACGTAACTTTAAGAGCCGCTTTCGACCATATGCTATCATGAATGTAACCTCTGATGGTAATATTTTGCTGAAAATACTATGAAATCGATGAAAATTATAGAGAAATTAGTGAATATATTTAAAAATAGATCATAATTTTTTTCGCAAAATTTAATATAATACTGTAAAATGTAAGGAAAGTTAAATTATACTGCTGAAAAGTAATACATTTTTTGAAATATTAGATATAAAATTTACTGAATTGAAAAGTGGAAATTGAATTTTTACTGAAATAGTAATGAAATAGGGCCCATTGAGAGGAAAATGTCAAATATATTTCGGTAAAATTTCATTATATTTTCAGTAAAATATTTCAGTAAAATATTCCCCTCGGAGATGTTAGAACGATGTTAGAGACGTTTCTGAAGTTGTGTTTGCGTTGTACGTCAGGAGAAAACTACTCGTATATATTTTATCTTACTGGACTTAACAAAACTGAACAAAACTGAAAACTTAAATATCACTTCGTAACAGGATCTGGAGATGTCTAGGGCGCGTCTGAGAACTTACGCATCTTACACGCCTACTGATGAGGAATTACAGCAAATTTCGTCGGCCTACCGGAGCTACCTCCGCAAGAAGCTCCGGGACGCGGATTCCTGATGATGCCGTTACTCTCACGTGACCAGGAGAAAGTCTCCGGTTGATCGTCGGTTCAACCCGATAACTCGAGCCGAACGAACAAACTTCCAAATGAAAAGTTTGTTGATCGTTGGGATCGATGAATCGGGCTGACTACTGGCGTGCGTGCGTGCGCGCGTATGTGTGTGTGTGTGTGCGCGCGCGCACATGTGTATGTGTGTGTGCGCGCGCGTTATTCGCTGATGACTGCGCCTTCGCACGTTGAATAATATAAGAACACCGGATTGATTCGACGACTGCAGATCCATGGTGAGAAGCGCGCGCTCAATTTTCTTTCGAAACCTGGATCTTCCGCACGTGTTCGAGCGATTGCCCCGAGACGGTAGATTATTCTTAACGAAAAAACCACGCTCGTAATCAATTTCATCATTGAACACGATGTACAATGCAATGTGCGCGAGATCTGCCGCATCGTGCGATGATACATTTTTCCGGACGAGATCCTCGAGCGTACGAGGAGGAGCGCACGCTCGGCTTCCGGCGAAATAACTAAAAGCTGAAATCTAACTAGCGAGCTAATTTGCACTCTAATCTACTTGTGCAAAGGTCTCCGGGAGCTAATTACAATGGCAAATAGCGTTACCTTTTAAGGCCTGCTTGCGGCGATCGCTCGCCGTTCGGCGCGATTCGATGGATGATGGATCTTTCTCTCTCTCTCTCTCTTTCTCTTTCTCTCTTCATCGGCGAGCTTCTCGGCGAGGGATCAAACGCGCGGCGGCAAGAAGACGCGGCGTAAAGGAGACAAGTGCGCACGGACGAGTGCGAGCGCTGGTGATGTCCCACCTGTCCGTATGGCCATATTCATATTCATTTTCTACGTGTGACCGCACTATCATCGCCGATAATTACCGGCGCGCACAACGTGTACGGCCTGATAGGACGGCCACGTTTCAGTAGCTACCTGAGATAAGAGAGCTCAGGCCAATAATTCGCCGCCGGTGAGTCGCGTGTTTTTTTTTTATTTTGCAGCTGCTTTTTATGGACGCGAGAGTATCGCGAAACGACGGGGACGACGACGACGAAAGCAAAAGCGAAAATTCAATCGGATCCTTGCCCCGACCTTCGCCGTGTATGCGCGCTTATTCGTGCATGCGTGACTCCCTAGTTAAACTTGCCGGCCGGATTAGGTTCGCGGCCCGCGAATTTTATCGGCGGCCTCGCGCGCTTTGCACACACGCGAGAGCTCTTCGTCACCGGTTGCGCAATTCATGCAAATATCGTAGGCACGCGTCGTCCTTGCCAAACGGTAGTTTCACTTACCTCTCTCTCTCTGTCTCTGTCTCGCGCGGGCACGCGCGCGCGCGCGCGCGTGAAATATCGTAGCAAAATGCCGAAGAGAATCGAGAACGCGTTCTCCCGCGGTGTCCCGCGCGTCGCGAAAATTTCAGGGGCACTGACGGAGAGCCACGCGAAACGAGAGATGCGAGGAGGTGATACCTCTCTCGGCTACCTCGCGCCGCGCGGTAATTCCGTATTTCTTCGACGTGGCATAGCCGCATGGCAGCTGAGTAAACGGGACGGGAGCGTCGTGACTTCTTACTTTGACCATTGTGCGCGACGCTCGAAAACATTTGTGTCAACAGCCTTCAATTCTCGCGGGGACGAAACCGCCCGGCTTCCTCGCGGTTTTGGTCAAGGATCCCGCGTCGCGTTGCGCGCTCCTCCTCGGGAGCGCATTCGCGAATTGACCGTCCCGGGTTCACAACGGCGCCCTCGCCTCTGTGATTTTGCGCAACGTGGCGCGAAAAACTGATGTACACACACACACACACGCGCGCGCGCGCGCACGTTGCATATAGCTTTCGTTTTTACGGCGCACGTTACACGGGGACTTATCTATATAGAGCGCGTTATAGGTTTTCCTTTTCAAGCCGCTAAAGGACGCGCTTTTTATAGGATTGATATAGAATTATCGTCTTGTCGGGTTATCGTTTCGCTCGGTTGCATAAGCACGAACCGGTGTAAGTTTGTTGCATTTGACCGCCAGGCCGCCAGGCATTAATGCATTATCGCTGCAACGTCGGTGAAACGTAACGCTCACCGAACGATAGACTTGTATCATTGGAAGTAACGTTCGGTGTCCTCGCTCTACGCAGGTCGAATAACATTTTCATACATTTTCGTGTATCAATCGCCTCCGTTTCATCGCTTCGGCTCGTTGAAAATTCCTTAATAATACTAGCAGCTCCTGTTATCTTTGCAAATAGAAAGAGGAGAAGGAAGATATTGACGTTGACGCGTATTGAACTCGAATAGAAACTCCATATTTCTCGATCGACTTCGGCCGATCTTGCAATATGCCACGTACAGTTAAAATCGTATAGGCAAACAATCGTTTGACACGTATCCGGACACGTTCCTAGAAAGTGATATTTTGCCGCGAATGACGCGATAAGGCTGTAGATCGGCGCTCCTAGAAGCGCTTCTCGTGTATTATTGTACGACGAGAAATACGGTTTTTCGAAGGGGACAATATACACGGTGTAGTGCATAAAATTACAATTTGCACGAATTGACTGATAATGAATAATTTGAGGGGCGCTTTGCCAACGTGCGAAAGATTGAAAATTGTTAAAACTAATGGAAAAACAGTGAAATAGCAGGAGTGAAAGCAGCAATGAAAGACAAATATATTCATATAAATAATTCATTTTTACATACATTGTAATTTTAAATGAGTAATCATATTGACATGACTTGACGATATTCTCGATTCCGCATTTTTTTTTTTTTTTTTCTTTAAGATTTTCCCGTTCATGAGAATGATCTGGCAGAAAGAAAATATATTGTCATGTATGATGCTTAAATTTCAATTCAGAAATATGAACTTATAAATCTTCTTTTTCCTCAGAATCTTTCTTGTTAAGACTAAAAAGATTTACGCTTCAACAGAACATACAATAGAATTTTACATAAAATATTTTTAGAAATGCCAAGCCAGCAAAAATATTTTATACTACTATTCAACTCAATACATCCGTGCACATAAACGTTGTTTTATACAAAAAATGTGATGATTAAATGACACGAATGCTACTCCATTAACAATCGATACATAAACATATGTCAATGGTCGCAATATACAGTGTGTCCCAAAAGTCCCGCGGAATGATCAAATATCTCAAAAACGAAACATTTGAGAAAAAAATTGTGCCCACAAAAGTTGTAGAGTTTCGACAAATGCATCAAACGGCGATACCCATTTGATTTTGGGCGTAAGTATGAAGGAGATATCTTAAGGTCAACTTCAAAATCTTAAGCGAAAATCTCTATTTTTATTCGATATTCTTGTAGCTAACACGTCGAGATCTCTTCGTAATACTGCAATAAAGTTTCTTCTTCTAGTTGAGTACTTTTTGAGATATAGGTTGAAAGTTCAGGTACCATCGACATTAACATTACCGAAAATGTATTGTGTGGAGGATACAAGAGGTATAAATTCGATCGAGCAATCTTCATACATATATCTTGGGTAATGTTAATGCCGGCGATGTCTGAACTTTAACTCATCTCGGAAAATATTTAACTAAAAAAAGCTTTATTGCAGTGTTGTGAAAAGATCTCAATGTCAGTTACATGAATATTGAATAAGAAATGGGGTTTTTATTTAAGATTTTGAAGCTGACCTAAGGTCTTCCTAATACCTGCGTTCAAGGTCAAATGGGTATTATCATTTAATACATTTATTACCCTACATCTTTTATAGGTAACATTTTTTTTACTATCTCGTTTACAGCACTACCATGCCTGTGCTTGGTTCTTTATGGTTAGATTTCCTTTGATTTTCTATAAATATATTTCTCAGCTGTTTTTTTTTTTTTTTAAATAGATTCCAACTGTAAAATCAACGTATTTGCATTTTTTATTTATTTATACCAGCAAATAGTACACATGAAATTTTTTTGTCTTATTAAAGTATCAATATTCATTTTCTTCAAAAACGTTTTGCTTTCAATAACGGAACAATAGTTGCGTTCAGCAGAACGTAGAGTTTATAAAATGCTCAGTAATTCGAGGATCTAATTGCAATACATATTTTTAGACCTCAATTAAATTCAAAAGTAAATATTAATCAGACTCATTGATCATTGATCTCTTGCTAAACACTTTGTTCCACTAAATACTACCAATACGATGAATCAATTTATTACTTCCTTGTGTCGCATTTAACAATGAGATCGACATCGTAGAACATTGAATTACTGCTAAGTTGAATGAATTGTAATATAAGCACAATAAGTGCACAAAAAGATCAAAACAAATTTGTACCAATGTGCACTTTAATATTATCGCTTGTCATTAAGAGATAAAAATCAAGTTTAAGTAGCTGCTTTAGCACATAAACATTATTAATTCTGTTGTCTATAATTCTGTAGTAGAAAATTTGTTATTATAGGCACAATCTTTTCGGGTTCATTCAAATGCACATGATGCGTCCCTTCCACTTCGTGATACTCGAATTTCCTAGCTTGCAGCTTTATTTTTTCCAATACTATATGATAATATTCAGGTTGCTCGAATTTCATTCCAGGAACAGCGCGAATGTTGAGGTAAGCGCATTTTATCTTAGATGCATAAGCAAGTACCAAGTCAAGAGATAACATTCCCAAGAGTGAGACCTAAAAATAATATCAATGTATACATATATAGTTATAATATTATTAAAATCATAATTATTATGATAATTATTATAAATAGTATATTACAAGATAAATATGTTACCTTTAGCCTCGGATCACGGGAAAAGAAATATTTTCCTCTTGAATATGCTGGTATTATACCGCGTTTCATTAATGTTTTCGCTGATTCCTTTGTTATGGAACCATCATAGGCCGTGTGTACTATATTAAGCATATCATCGTATTCATAGCACGGTATGCTATCCAACGACATTAATTCGTATTTTAAGAATTTGTCTATATATTCCCCAGTGACTCCAGTTGTTTTTGTGACATCCCTTACGTTTGGGCTAACAATATCCAAACTTATGACAAGATCGACTTCATCGGGATAGGATGCTGCATATAGAAAAGATATGGCACCACCCAGTGAATGCCCAAGGAGACTCACCTAATTTCATAATACATACATACAATTACAACAAGCTTACATTCAGTTGTACAGTATGTGTAACAGTTATTGTGCGAGATATATTAGCAATGTAACATAGCATACATATGTATTACACATACATTTATATGTATTAAAAATATTCACATTAACATAACTTCCATATACTGGTTAAAGACATTGATTGTCATGCAATGCATTTGAATGAAACACAAAAAGAAGTTATATAAGTGCAAGCAAGGATGACTGTTAAATTATGTAAGAATATAAAACAGATATTGAATTATTGCGTGAGATCGTGCTGCGTATGTTCTGTCTGCAATCGTAAAAATAGTGTGGGTAAATTTATCTTCACCCGCTAACCTTATTCCATCTGAAATGTTTAACGATTCTACGAAGAAGCATGACACCGTCCCAATAGACATAATAGAATTGACTTTTTGGATAATGCGAGGATAAACCATGCCCGGGCATATCCAAACAAAGTAATGAAACATTTTTAGGCAGCAACGGTATCAATGTGTCAAAACTGCCTGCATTATCCTGACGACCATGCAATGCCACTATCGGTTGGAGCTCTTTAGGACCCCACCATTTGCCTGCAGTCACACAATTATTTCTTGATTTTACCCCCTTTTTTTTAACATATATATATAATATTTAATCGAAGGTACAAATTCAGCTTTAACAATCTGTAATTAGATTCATTAAAATGAGAAAAGAGGAGTAATATATTCATATAATTTTTAGAAATGAAACAAAGTTGTAGCATAGCTAATAAAGCTTCCTTGTCCACCCTTGTAGGACTCATGATACAGTTATACAACGATGTTTTATGTGATCTCTCTAGCGTATCTTTTTTATAATCAACATGCTATTACATGAAGATCAATATTTTTGAATGTTATATATTGTACATATAACAGTCAGCCTTTCTTAACATAATATCTTAACGACAATTACGATGGTTAAGTAATATAATGTGAATATTGAATAGTTTAAATTGAAAATAACATATTATATTTTAATTTGTTAAATATACCATACCATGATATGCAAATATCCCAAGCCAAAAGTATGCAAACTAAATGCTCAATAGCAACAAATAACATAGACTTTATCTATTTCATAAATGCAATCGTATTGTACTTTTGTAAAACATAGTATATAAAATCCATGCGCTTATATGACTAGTGTGTTATTTCCTTGATTATAAATCATAAAGATATCGTTGTATAACGTTGATTTGCTAGCTAACCTTGTCCCACTTGTAATGTTTAACGATTCTACGTAGTATGAGAACCCCATCCCAAAATACATAGTAGAATTGTCCATCTGGTAGATGAGAAGAAAAGCCATGACCAGGTAAATCTATACTCAGTAGAGCTATATTGGATGGCAATAACAATGCCAAGTTGTCAAATGTTCCTGAGTTATCTTGCCAGCCATGTATTGCCACAACAGGCCGTTTATCTCTTGGTCCCCACCATTTTCCTAGATTTACCAATATGTTGAATTTAAAGTATCGTTCATTCATCCAAATTGTGACAAACTTTCTCAAATTATTTCTCTAAATGATTTATTATATTAATTAGTTTGATTAATTATAATAATTTATTATATTATTCAATAGAATCAAGCTTCGAAATGATTAGTAAAATTTGAGGATCTGATTTCGATATTTTTAGATCTAGCTAAAATCTAAAAATCTTGACTAAATGTAATAATATATACATGTATCAATGTCTCAGAGAATTAGAATATCTAACACATATTACTACTACATTTATGAGATATAAATGTTGAATAACCAAATTTTTGATAACATTTTGTTCCTATCAGAGTATAAATAAAATTGGTTAGTCTTAATTATACTCTGATCTATCTATATATAGCACTTGATATAGGAAATACAATAGGATAATATTGTTATTTTTACTAACCACTTATATGACCCCATGGCACCGATATCTGAATCTCCTCGGGATCTATAAAAGAAAAAGGTTAATCACTACAAACTATCCTTTAAACCTTTTAATTGAGGTTATTTCAAATATTTAAACAATTTACCTGTTTTCTTACATCTGTTCACGGCATTGTCGGCCGAGTTCGTGTCCCCGTTGTTCATTTCGATGTGACGATTCAAAAATGTAGACTTGTAAATATCAGATTTTAATCTGCTACTGGTTATTCGTTCAACTCGCGCACCACAGTCGTAACGGTGAGACTGAAAGAAATTTGTCGTCACTTACTTGACTCGCTGAAGTACATCAATACACATCGGCAACTGATCATGTATTATTATCCTGTGTAAAAACGAGATCTGTGAGAACGTCACTTTGCATTTGTTAATTATTAAATGCTTAGTCGTATCAATAATCAAACTTATTTGGCCATGAATAAATATTTCTCACGTACGTGACTACAAGAAAAAAATTGTCGAATCATTTATACGCGATAATCTTATTCCTTTTCATTGAGCTTCAAGAATACTCTAGAATACTCTAGAATACTTTAGACTACACTAGACTATTCTAGAATATTCTATACTCTAGAAATACAGTTAAATACGTTCTTCTTAATCTCTAAGTGGAAACCACACGTGCCATCCTTGTGAAAAAAATAGAACTTGGAATCAGACGGTTATATTAATCACCAACGACTAAAATTCACTTCGGTTACCTTAAAGGTAACAGAAGTGCGGTTCGCGGCAGTGTGATTTTAAAGTTAAAAAGAAGGAATTCTGAGTAAATTTTATTAAAATGGTCCGTAAAAAGATAGATAATCGCATACGAGTTTTAATAGAAAATGGCATTGTTATGGAACACAGAACAATGTTTGTTGTCATCGGTGAAAAGACAAGAGATCAAGTATCTCATTGAATCTTCTAAATTGCACGTGTGAAATGTTACACGTGAAAAACATGCCTGCGAAGTATTAAAAATATTCAGTCGTTCATGCCGTTATTATTTATATATTAGTTGTAAAAAAATTTGTACTTAATATAAGGACGATAAAAGCCGAATTAAAGAACAAAACTTGATAACAGTGTACAGACAAGTGCATTATAATAACAGCATAGTAATAGCATTTCGAATATGTGGTCATCTTCAGTCGCACGTATAGAACACAATATAAATGACACAATATAACTTAATACCTTTGTAGTTTGGTTTTTATTGTCCTTGTATCTTATATGTCTTTGTCCTTTCATTGTAATCTTAGGACCTTTGATTATTTATTTGTAAAAAATATCTTCTCAGGTGGTATTGTTGCATCATATGTTATCCAAGACTGTAGTAAAGTCTAGGCCTTCTGTGCTGTGGTGCTATAGAAAGGATCTAGGTTTTAGCAGCCATAGGAAGAAACGCATGAAGACTTTACAAAAATAGATTAAGTCGGGTAAATTGGATGTTAATGAGGATGACCCATTTGAACTCTTTGTGGTTTCAACCAATATTCGTTATTGTTACTATAATGAAACACATAAAATATTAGGTAACACATATGGCATGTGTATATTACAGGTATGTATTTGCTTTTCTTTTGCTAATGTATTTATTAATAGTATCACAACAAAATGTTTCAATTTCAGGATTTTGAAGCAATTACGCCAAATTTATTAGCGCGTACTATTGAAACAGTAGAAGATGGTGGAATAATTGTATTTTTGTTACAATCTATGAACTCTTTAAAACAATTATATACAATGAACATGGATGTCCATCAGAGGTTTCGTACAGAAGCTCAGCAAGTACGAATATATTACTTTTACACATATATTGAAATATGTTATAATATATAATGAAACATATTTTCTTATTTATTTTAGAATATAGTATGCCGATTTAACGAGAGGTTTTTGTTGTCATTAGCTTCTTGTAATCGTTGTTTAGTTATTGATCATCATCTAAATGTATTGCCTATATCTTCTCATAATCTAAAAATTGAACCTGCGCATAAGTCTACTATACTGGAGGAGCAATCGAATTTGGATTCTTTAAAGGAAAGTTTAAAGGACACTCAGCCTGTATCTGCAATAATCAATTGTTGTAAAACGATTGATCAGGTAAATTGTCTGGGATAAGTCAGTGGAGGAAAGAACGTTCAATATGGATTAGCATAATTCATAACTAATTTTATTATAAAAATAAGCTTTTATATTAGAAACAAGGAAAGGATTAGAGATGTTTCCAACAGTATGTGCGCATTTCCAGTTATGCATTACTTCGATATTTTTAGGCGAAAGCAGTTTTGAAGTTTATCGAATGTATCTCAGAGAAAACATTACGGTCTACCGTATCACTAACTGCAGCTAGAGGACGAGGAAAATCAGCTGCGTTTATGGCAGGTGGGGTAGGATTTGCCAGTTCATTCCTTCTAAGTACTTCTTGACTGATTGAGCAACATGCAACTTGGCGTTGTCGTGCTGCAAAATCAGCTGGCGTGAATGTTTCTCTTTGGTGTCGACGGACCTGGTTCCCCGGTACATGCTACTTTTCGCTTCGGATTGTCAAAATACCATCCATTCTCATCTCCAGTCACGATTCGATGGAGGAAACTCTTTCGTTTTTGTTGTTCAAGCAGCAGTTCAAAAGTGGTTTTCCGCCGTTCAATCTCCCATTCCTCCAATATGTGGGGTACCCAATTTCCTTACTTGTACACCTGTCCCAGTGTCTGGAAACTGTTGATTTGTCCACATTTGAGGCTTCGGACAACCCAACTAGCGTTTGACTCGAGTATTCGTTTAATAATGCGTCCAATTCCGTATCCTCACATTTTTTGAGTGGTTTTTTGAGGTCCTTGTTGTCTATGGAAAAATCACCACCTTGGAAGCGGCGAAACCATTCTTTGCACGTTGTATTTGATGGAGCATGTTCGGCATACGCTTCCTCTAGCAAACGATGCGTTTCCGCGAGCGATTCCCTTGCCAGGAAATAATGGAGCATAACTTTCCCCAAATCTGATTTATTTAGAACAAAACTTGCTATTGTAAACACAGTCAAAATAGACGATGTCAACGCGTCGCACAAATGTCACCTGTGACGTTTTGGCGGGACTCTGTAGATCTGTCAATTCGAAGAAATAGTGTACCTAACGCCATCTATTATCAGTGGGCGGTTTCATACGCAACCACCTAATATTTTATGCATTGAAAAATTACGTTTCTTTCTCATACCGTTTTTCGGTAAGAAGTTTATTATTGGCTCCCGCGTGAATTTCCGCCGCGCGACAAGCGTTGCCGCGTCCTGTGGAATCCATCAGACTATGGATTAGAATTGAGATTGAATTAAAATTTGGCCAATCAGAACAAGTTTCACTAGACTTGAGTTTAGTGAACTTTGCTCTGATTGGTTAAATCTCAGTCCAATCTCAATTCTATTCCGTAGTTTGATACGGGCATAACGGCTTCTGCACAAGACGCGGCAACGCTTGCCGCGCGGTGGAACTTGCACGGTAGCCTATAAACTTCTAATTCTTACCGAAAAACGGTATATTGATTGGCTACCGCGCGAACTTACGTCGCATGGCAAACGTTGCCGCGTCTTGTGGGCAGAAGCCATAAGACAGAGAGCGAGATACTATTTATGGTGTTTTCGATTTGCTGACTCGACCCGACTCGGGCGTTCCGCCAATCGCTACTGTATTACAAACTATAGTATGCGTAACTTGATCTATAGTTTGCAGTATTGCAAAGATTATTGGAACGTTGCCCGAGTGGGGTTGAGTCAGCAAATCGAAAACACTGTTCATGAATGTATTCATCTTCGTTGTTTTAAGGATATCGTAATACTCCTTGATTATTTCTCCTCTTTGTAATTTCTCTAGATCTTCGGCCTCGCGCAACATAATGTTACTTTGAGTAGGAAATCTTCTATTTTAACATCGATAAAATAAATTTGTACATATATAAAAATTATAAATAAATAACGAAATATTACAAATTAAATATACAGGTGTACTTAACACGTTCACTACCAGGGTTTGAGAAGAAAATCTTGCACCACAGTCCAAGATGTTTTGTGTTAGAATATGTCTCCAATTGACATGGGTCTTTTTAGGATATATTTATAACATAAAAATGAAATTATCTCTAGACCGACATCCTACATCTATTTTATTATTTTTTAGCTCAACAATATTGTTCATTTCCAAATTTATTGCAATACGTTATCATAAAGTGGTAAAGAACACACACCGCACATCTGCGGTGGTAGGCTCAGATACAAGAATCGGGACGCCTCATATATGCGGCGGTGGTAGCGAATGTGTTAATATCTTCGCTTTTATCAAAGATAATGATAGGGAAAAATATAGATATACAATAGTAACTGAAGTATTCATTAATATTAACGTGCGACATTCAACTTACTCTTTCCGTTCTTCTATCCACTTTTTCTCATTATCATTACATTATATATTAATATGTTTTTCGACGAGCAAGGGATCAGCCGCAAATGTACGTTAATATCGCTAAGTCTATGTGTGCCTTTATGTTCAGTAAGAGCACTCTCGGATAAAATATCTTTATTGCATACATCGCAATAAGATGTGTCGTTTTTAGTGCCAACATCACTTTCATTCTCTCCATCATTTGGTCCTTCGTCATCTGGATACAGATGAGCCTAAAAATCGTTATTTCAAATATTTGTTATATGCTGAGAATCTGATTTTTTCGAGCACATTTGCTATTTTGTAGGTGATATATTAAATATTATTTTACAAATCTTAGTATTCTGTACTATTTTATCTTACATTACACAATGTATGGATATATTTACTGAAAAATTTTGATTAGTATATCGCTTGTAGTTGTATTTTAATATCATTATTTTGTTGCACGTTGTAAATCTATTAAAAATGCGACAAATTATTATTAATGCAAAATTTTTAAAGCTATGACCGGAATATATATTCAGAAATTGAATCATCTAAATTTTCTCTTACATACGAGAAGCACATTCTCTTTAAGTGTATTTCATTCTACTTTTCATCTGCCGTTTTCTCTTTCTCTTCAGATTATTCAAATACATACAAATTCGCGAATATTTTATCGAAGTAATGTGGTTAATTACTTTTATAAAGCGTACTAGCGATGTAACATAAGCATACGCTCACTCAAAAGGCTTAATAGTGAAATATTTTGTATAATTATATAATTGTAAAATAAAATATAATATACACATAATCAGTCTTTTCTCTATAGTATATATTAGTATATATACTAACATAAATACATATATTAATAAGTATTGACGCATTTCATCCAATTCTATTTACATTTCACGTTATATTTATTTTGATTCGTGTATATCGATGCAGCGAGATTGCATTATTAAAGTATTACTTAATCATTAACTTAAATATAAATTGTTAAATTTAGAATGTCAGAAATGATTATTTTCATATTTCAGAACGATTGTTTCGACACGCGAGGACAACGTCTCCTTAGCGGTTCAGAATGACAGAATAATGGAAAACACCAGGGTTAGAAACATGATTTATTCTTACAATATGTGAGTTTTAATTACAAATTTGGTCTTCGCTTGTTTTATTTCCATATGTTCTGGAAGTCATTTGTAAAATGAATAATATGGAATATATCACACATATCGCCATAATTATTTATAAAAGTTATACTATTAATCTGTCAGTGCCACAAGCTACTTCAGACTTTCTCTTTTATGTTACATTAAAATGTGTCTGAAGAATATGCAAAATTGTTTGTACGTCAGTTTTACGGTTAGTTACCATATGTTACTATTATATCTCTTAATCATATTATAACTTGCAGCACTTGTACACTGGCCATAAATTTGAGGAAAGAGTTCCGAAGGAAATTTATTCACAAACGGCCAGTTTTTGCCTAGTGGCGATAAACTGCGACTATTTAGCACTTTCAAGCGTTTTATACGAGAAATTATATCAGTTACACAGAAATATGCTAACATGTAAAAAAAGACTTGAACAAATTATTAATTCTCTTACACGAATGACCTAGAATACTAGATTATCATTATTTCAACTATTAAATGCTAATTTCTTGGAAGTATCCTTATCAAGATTTAAATAGGACATACAGTTATGATAATGTAAATGATATAGAGAGAAGGAAAAAAGAAAAAAAATATATCGTGACGCACATAAACGTTATACTGCGAAAATAATGAAAGAAAAAAAAAGAGATGAAAGATAGCATTTGCACATTAAGATCATTCATATAGAACTTATAACAAAACCTATGACACGATATTATGATGAATTTGCTAAATATAATCAAAACTTAGAGACCAAATCGTTCTGAAGTTTGAAAACAGAATACTTGTGTCATATATAATTTCAATTGTACAATTCTTTATATAGGAAGAGTAGCCTGAAGCTTAAGACTGTGCCTGTTCGCTGGAAGGCTGCGTCTCCTCTACTTGTTCCGTTTGTTCCGATTGTTCAGTCGAATTCTCACTTTTCTGAACTCTCTCGCATTCAATCGTATTGTTATCATGTGTTTTTCGATCCTGTAAAACCAAAATAATCCTGTCATCGCGGTACATGGAAAATACCAATTTGCTCACGCACAATCATTACTAGAATGCGTTTTTTTTTCTAGAATTATTATAATTAGGCATGTTGTTATTATCTCAGTCCTGTGTTTTATCTACTGATTTAAGTTCAGAATAAAAAAATATATACAAAGTTTGTGTTCTGTTGAACGTATCAGATTTAAAAATGCACAGAGTGAACTTTTTAAAATTACTCTATTAGAATAATCATATTAAATTGATAATAGTATCAGTTCATACTACCTTAAATATAAATTCTTTAAAAGTATAAAATCTGTTAGCTGTTTCATTACTTTCTGTCTTCCTCTACAACCCTCTCCTTTTCATACATATTTTATTTTTACATTGAATTAATTTTGTATAAAAAATAAATATTAGAAAATATATGTACAATAATATATAATAATCTATAATAGTATATAACATACATACGTTCATATTAGAAATTGCCATTGTGTATAAATTAGGAAAAATGATTTATTATTTCAATTCTAAATTGAAACAAATGTTACACTGACCTCTTATAAAATATTCGTTAATGAAGAGTTTCATAGCGTATAAAATTAGTACTGTACAAATAATTATTTTTACACAATGGCTTGTATATTAAAATACATATATTTACACACATACATATATACAAGCATACATCTACAAGGAGAACTTACGAGGTGATACCCATCGAATTCAATAATGTTTGTGTGGATAAGTTTTGATATGAACCTTTATTGAGCAAAGGGTGAAAGCGCTCTCAAGCATTTTCAAACAAATCGAAGTTAAGAAATCTCGAGCGTCGTATGAGAAATTTTAGCGAATCTCTTCATCAAAAACTGTATTCTGTAAAAATTGCATTCTGACTTGAAAAAAATCTATCCATCGAAATTCGAACCAGTGATCTTGTACTTATCGGTCAGACATGCTAATGCCGAGCTATGCGGTCTTTAATTTGAAATTTCGTTAAAATTACTCTTACAACCTTTCTTTTACGGGATTTTTTAACTTTGATTTTCTTGAAAATTTTTTAGAATTACACTTTCTCATTTTGTTCAATAAAGGTTCATACCAAAGTTTATACACCAAGCAATATTATTTAAATCAGTGGGTATCACCTTGTGACCATTTATCCTTGTCAATTGCACACATTTTTTTAGTAATAAATAATAAACACAATTTGAAAATAGAGATAGAAAATAAGAAAGCAGGTAGAAGCGCATTAAGCAGCACAGCAATTATGAGTAAAATATGAGTAAAACGAGTAAAATGGGTAAAATATATAAAACATGCAAGTTAAAAAGAAGCCTACAACAAAATAGAACTACAGTCTGTCTAATAAGAGCGTGACCGGGCAAACTTCTGTTTGAAAACCGTTACATTGAAAACTTTTGAGCGAACAAGTAGAAGGGCTCTTCCCTTACGGCGTATTATACAGAAGGTTCCAGTCATTATCTGACTTTCGTTAAAGAATGACGTATTTAATGATAAGTATCAGAATGTAGAATAGATCGAGGCAAATCGGATCATTTGACAAATCGGGTTAATATAAGCTTTGAGACAGTGTTGTTAGTTATTTGTTTCAAATGCATGCGGAAGAAGCGCACGAAGATAATTGGTGTGATAAAACATCTTGCTTGGAACGAAAACGCTAACGACAATTGTCTCAAAGCTCATATTGATCTGATTCTTCCTATGATTCAATTCAGTCTATCCTGTGGAGGATTTGAGTGCCAAGTAGACTGTCAAAATTGTGAACATTAAAAATGATCAAGAAGCATTAAGAAGCATTAAGCACGGCGACTCTTCTTCATCTCCTTCTTTCGATAATGACCCCGGTATTATTTTTTTCATTATCGACGATCTCCCTGCCAACGATAGAACCGCCGGGTAGATCATTTGCGCTGTCGTGACCGTCCAAAATTTGCCTCCCGAGCCACTTCTTCTTCGCATCATCGGCGACGTGTTGCATAGACTCCGATATTTCTTCGATCAGCCTTCGTGGTCGGCTCCTCTTTCGACCCTAACCGCAAAGAATAGGTGAGCAACTTTTTGTACCTTCTCCTTAGATTACCATTCGTTATAGGAAGATAAGATCGAATACCTCGACTTTCCAGGGCAACAGAAGCTCCGCGTTGTGTTCGTTGGAAACTTTTCTCTCTTCCTCCGCCATTGGCCTCCTTCTGTCACTTTCCTCGCTTCCTTTTTGCCGCGTGCCTTCGTTTTCTTCGTCGCTCGCGAGCTCTCCATCAGACGACGACGACGACGACGACGAAGAGGCGTAGGTACCGAGGAAGCATCTGGATTTTTTCTTCCTCTCCAGGTCGTGCTTCATCGTGTTCATCGCGGCCGGCATCACGATAGGGAGATCGGGGGGTTGAAGGTTTCATGTGGTGAAGGATCAAATAGTTGAGCGGGATGGGTGATATTATTCGAAGCACGAATTCTGTACCAGACCTTGACGAAACTAGTTCTTACCAGTCCGCTGCTCCTCGGTACCGCGCGCACACTTGACGTGGCGTCTTCTACGTCCTCCTTCTCCTCCTTCTTCTTATCCGCCTCCTTTTCGGACGTCCCGACCGGTTTGCACAGCTTCCTTTTGTTTATCAGGGCTTCCGAGGGCGGACGACAGGTAAACAAAGACCGACCACGAGTGAAAGGAGTCAAAGGGACCAAGGGCGGCCATTTCGAGCCACCTCGTAACCGACGAACTTTTACTCACCCGCGACACTGTCGTTGATCTTTTTCTGCTCCGCTTGGATCCAACGGTTCCTCTCGGCCACCTCCTCATCGACACCGCCACGCATCCTAAACCGAGAGATATTTTCAGGATAACGATATAATTTCGCTTTTTATTCATTTCTTTTTTTCTTTTCCGATGAAAAATCTTACCAAGCTTCAGCGCAAGCACGATCGCGCGGAAACACCGGTCTGTCGTCCAGGTATTGTAGATTTTTGCACTTCAAGATCATGGTCTTGCGGTATATTTTGATCAGCTTCAACACCGGGTTGCCGATTAACGTCACGACGCGCAGCGATTTCATATCTCCAAGAATCTAAATAGGGTGATATTTTTTCGCGCTTGCGAGCGACGTAACTAAAAAGCCACCGGTCTCGCGTCGCGAACATATTTCGTAACGTCGTATATATATACGACGATATATATATATATATATATATATGAGCCTTTCATATTGCATTAATTAATAATGCATTTAATTAAATATGTAAGATTTATTATATATGATAGCTTAATTTAGAATTAGAATGCATTCAGACAGACAGACAGACAGACAGACATTCAGTTCGAGTTTCTTATTTATGACCGCTATGAATAAAGTCACAATGATCAGTTTCTAGTCAACGAGCGGAATAGAATCGAGCCAAATCTCGAGACTAGAATCAAAATATTTACAACAATGTAATAATAATAATAATAATAATAACACAAAATATTATGAATCACGTGTGCGTCACTCGCGGAAGTTCGGTTCCAATGAGAACCGCATTGCGATGACGTCACACAGCTCAGTCGTTTCGAAAATATAGCTCGTTTGCCCTTGCAAGCAGCGATCGTAATTGCCGCAACTTACGTCAACGACGTCGCAGGCGTCGATCCTGTTGTAAGAAATGTCCAAGATCGTGAGAACGTGCAGCAGACGAAGATGCTCGATGTCGGCGGTCTCGTGCAGGTAGTTGTGCGACAGGTTCAGAGTGTTCAGGAACTTGAGGTTGTCTGAAAAGCAAAAGCACGGCAAGGTCAAGGTCACCTAGTATGTTTGCCTCATATATATATATATATATAATACTACTATATTGCCAGTGACTTTATAAAAGAGAGCCGTCTCAGAAACGAAGGACAGACGATGTCCGATGTGTGTATTTTGATCGTAATGTGCAGACGCGGCGATTAGTTGATTTTATATATATATATATATCAACTGATAGCGTGTTTTTTTTCGGTGTACAGCCTCGTGTCACCTGCCGTTTGCTGCTTGCTGCGTTACCCCGCCTTAGAAATCATTTAATGCTCATCGTTGCTAGGGGATCTTTAAAAGTAAGCCATTTTTCTCTACACAATGTCCGGTCTACCCTTTCCCGTACATTCATTAGTTCAGGCAACATAATTAATTCCTCACTAACTATTACGAATTTTGCAAAATGGTACAAGACTTTTCCGCTCAGTTTCACCTGTCCTACTTGCACACCACGAGAACTAAGATTAATTTGGGACACCCTGTGTATATATATATGATGCGGTACTTCCGAGACAGGACTTCTCTCTCACTCTGGCAATATATTAGTATACATATATGACTTGCCCCGATTCGGCCCGACGACTCACCGAGATTCTCGATCCTTCGTATCGTGTTGTGCGAGAGATTCAGAGTGTCGAGCTTCGTCAGACAATCGAGATTCTCGATCTTCTTGATGAGATTGTGGTGCAGGAACAAGCACTTCAGTTCCTTTTGGTTATCCAAATTGGCGATCTCGCGTATACCGTTGTTCTCCAACCACAGGCACTTCAGGCCCGTGTATTTTTCGAGATTCTCGATAAAGGAGAAACCTGAAAAAAAACTCTTTGTCAGTGATATAATTTGTGTATTCGTGCGACCAGTACGATTGAGCGCATCCTAATGCATACCTTTATAATGCAGGTACAGGACGTCGTTCAGGTACGGAGTCTGATAGAGTTTATGTTCCTTGCAATGTTTCTTGATCAGCTCCTCCGTCATCCTGCAATCACATTTATTGACTGGTACGCACGTTAATCAATTTACATTACAAAGTATATTACTTCGAATCTCTCACCTAACACCGTGCTGCTTCTCGTCGAAATCGTAGACCTTTCCCTTAATATAAGCTCTTTCCGGCTCTTCGTGGAAATCTGAAAAAGAATCGTCCGATTTCGGCTCGACTTTCGCCAATGTTGCGTCGTCTACCGGTTCAGAAGTTGCGTTTTGAAATTCTTCGACCATCTGTTCGTCGTGCTTCGATTCAGCCTTGAACTCTTCATTGACATTTTCGTCGTTACAAACTCGCATTGGTTCGGACTCTAAGGACGCTTCCTTGACATTTTCGTCGTTACAAACTCGCGTTGGTTCGGACTCTAAGGACGCTTCCTGGACGACCTCTGAATCCGTGAAGATCATTTTCTGATATTCGTCCATCAATCGCTTGTGCTCTTCAACTTCAATCGCGAGTTGCCTCTCCAACTCCTCGATTTTCAAGTTCTCAGTTATCTCGGATTTTGTCAGGGGGACCTCGAGGTCCTTGGGTTCAACCTGAGACTCGTCCAGACTGTCGGAATCGTCGTTCGGAATTTTGCCTTCGCACGGATCATTGTCGGACGTGTAAGAAGTATCGTTACGACTAACGACGAGCTTCTCGATCTCGTCGAACTTCCTCGACAGTGCCTCCAGCGATTCTTTCTTTCGGTTCTCTATTCTTCTTTTCTCCTCGGCTATTTTCTCAATAGTTTCATGAATCTCGATGAGCGACTTGGGACGATCGGGACACGTGATTTCGGCCAATCTCTGCAAATTGCTCTGAACAACATCGGACTCTGAGGCAACGACTCGCTCAATTTTCACATTTGGTAATTTGTGATAAACCGTAATATCTTCAATCGTGACGAAATTCTTCTTTGTCTCATTCACTGTTTCAAGCTCTTCGTCACTTTTTGCCTCACCCGAAAGCCTTTCCGGCGAATTATCTTTGATGTGATTGTCGGCTGCTTGATTAATGCTCACCTGCGACGTGTCCCAGTATCGATTATTTGTCAATATTTTCTCTGCCTCTTTGATAGTTTTCAATATATCTTCTTTGGCTATGGCAATCTCGGAAACTACTTGAAGACACGGGAGAAATGTATCCCCTTGAACGTTCTTAATCGCGTATTTGCTGTTCGATCTGAGATTCATGTCTGAACTTTCGTAAATCGAGTAATGTTGTTGGAGACCTTTCGCGGATACATCGGTATAGTTTTCGATGATTCTCTTCATCATGTCGTCTTTCGCAGGAGATAAGGCTTCCAGCATTCGCTTTTCCGCATATTGCTCATCATTGCTCGTGCACAAGGTTCTATTAATTATCCGATTCGTTTCTTTTGTTTCTTCCGCAGCTACTTTTCCCGTATCATCTTCTGCGGCGCTCGGCATATCTTCCGTCTTCCCTTCTCCATCTTCTTCGTCTTCTCTTGTACATTTCAAGAGATTGACACTAACTTTAAGACTCTCGTTGTCATTCATGTAATAATCGTCAGATTCTATGGTCGAAGATGTTACATTATCTAATTCTTCTCGGACAGGCTTCTCAACGTCGTCCATATATGTAATAACATTTTCCTCAAGCTTCATTTCTTTCCTTTGCATATTTTCCTCAGCATTCGTACATTTAAAGATGTTATTTTCTTCACTCGTACCCATCGAGTCTATGCAGTTGTTGATAAGTTCTCGCTGATGATTTTCTACAGTTCTCCGTTTCAGATTATATTTCAGCGACGAGACGTGTGGGATGGAGTTTGGAGCTTCGACAACCTTTGGAAATACGAAACGATTGTTAGTTTTACTTATGATAAATCGTACGAATATATGATTCGAACTTACGAAACAAAATTTTCGGCCTTTGAATTTGAATGACACGCGTGATTATAAGGAACGTTATATAATCTCTCGCGAAAAAAATTGTAAATTAAACAGAAAGCAAAGATCGTTACTCTTTGGTTGTATTATGTAATAAATCAGGAGAGTTGCGTGTAGGGTAATTTACCTCGTGTTCGGATGTAGTAGAAACATTCTTACAGTTAAAGTCAACGATAGACTCTTGATATTTATCCCTTGTTGAGGAATCCAATGAGAGATCGTGCGCGTTATCCACTCTGTTATTATCAGATTCGGACGCGTTCATGATTGAGAATAACTCCGCGATTGAAATTGCTCCACGAGACCCAGTACAAACTTCGAGTCAACGTGGAGGAGCATTGAAAACACGAAAACGCGGTGCCATGGTCACCGTCAGTTCTCCATTGTTTAATCGATAAAATCGCCCGTCTTCATTCCTTTCGAAGAGCGCGTCGCAGTTCGCGCGACAATCGTCCGCAACCAATTCATCAGACAACGATCTGGAATTGCGCGAGAAACGGGAAAGTCATGTTGCGCTACTTGCGACACGCCATTGAGAAACGGGAAAATCGAGCCCGGTATTTTTTCACTTCCAATCAATCCGACCGATCACGAGCCGTCGGTCGTCCCACTCGCCCTTTCCACGTGAATCCCATCGATTTTTAGGCGGTCTTTTATTCACACAAGTGCAGCCCATCGCATCCGATGCGTAATTTAGCCGTTCTTTAGTTCTAATTTATCTAGTTGCGCACAACAACTAGCGGGCTGCGTTAATTTTGACCGTTTACTTTAATTCAAATTGCAGAACTGCTCAATTTGTTTACATCTTTCGGCATCCGAATTTAAATGACTGCCGACAGATTGACGAGCCTGAGCGAATGCAAAAGCCTCAAGTACGAACACGAATTCTTCGGTGTGCAGAAAGTAATATTGAAAATAACATTGGCACACTCACCATTGATAAATTTTTTATATAATTTATATGACACAAAGTCATTAATAACTGACCACGTTTCATTTATAAAGCGAATTTCAATTAATGACATTTTTTTAATATATTGTTTTTCGTATTGCATTTTGCAGCCTTAGACAAATATTTATTATTCCACATTCCTTCTATACTACTGTAAGCATCCAAAGCCGAGAAGGTTTAAATTGTATAAATATCGTCCTATTAGAGGTCGCCTACAGGAGAAATCATTGATATAAAAACGCGAGAAAAAGAGACAGAGCGGAGAAAAATCGAAGTCAGACTGGAGAAGATAGACGTTGGAGGTCAGAGACGTTATCGTTAAAATCAAGAAAAGCGAGAGACTGATTTTGTTCTTGAAGGCCGAAAGGACTCGGTTAGTGGCTTATCTGGTTTTTACATAGAGCGAGGGACTGCCCGCGAGAGAAACATATGTATATTATTTATTTCGTGTAATTGCTCCAATTAAAAGCACGGCTTTCCTCGATTGAGCTCCGATTTTTGAAAAGAGCCCTCGCAACCATCCTCGGACGAGAAAGAAAGGAAGAAAAGTAAATTCGCTTACACTACTAGAAAGACTAACATCGCGTCCAATTTCGAACATACGATGATCCGGTAGCCAGTAGGAGAACGTATTTTCTAGGAACAATAATGTTCCTAGCTAGTAACTTTAAAAAGTGGAATCTCGATGCATCCACGAGATGCATGCAGCTGGTATCTGTTAAACGATCGCGCCCTTGCGAGAAAACAGTGAGTAAATCTCGCGGGAATATCCGAACGGTCCGGGTGTGCTTTGTGCTTTGCGCCCTTTGTTCTTTGCTGTACCACATATTCGGCTAAATCGTTCCGCTTCGGTGGAACGCGCGTAACTCGATCGATCATAACTAATCTTGAGTATCCGACTGAGGAGGCGGGCCTTAGGGTGGTCCACAGCGAAAAGAAGGCTGAAAAGAAGGAGAAAAAAAAGAGCAAGAAAATCGACAAATAGACGATCGATCGGGCGCGGCGCACAATGTTAACGCGGGGTGTCTCGTCCCGACATCTATTCGTCAGGCGATCTCGCTTTGTTTTCATTGCGTCTGGATGCGCGCCGAGTGAGTGCCGCTTGTTTTTCCTCTCGGTTTCAGTTCGCCTCCCGTCCCGCTTTCCGTGCGGCCACGACGACGCCGATGATGTTCGCGAATGAATGCTATCAACATAATCCAGCGGAAAAAGCGCGCGGTGGCGATTCGCAAATGTTCCTCGCTCTCTCCTTCTCCGGTGAGCACCGGCGTCTTCGCGGGCCGCGGGAAATCGCGATGAGCACGATCATGCAGCGCGAATCCTGCCGGCGCTGGGCATATGCTCCTCCTTTATTTTCCCTCCTTAAGACGCCGAACGGTCATCTACATTCCAGACGCGTCTTTCTGCGCAGCATCCGCGACGCAGAACAACCGCCGTGTGCGTGCGCGCGCACGCTAGTCTAATCGCGATTGGAAATTCGGTGTTGCATAGGTGCAACATTCTCCATTGCATTCCCTCTCGCGAGAGAGACGCGCTCTTCCAAGAAAGTTCCACCGATGCTCCGTTGTCTGACCTCTGCAAGAGTCGGACGCGTCATCCACGCGGGCTTGCCGATCGATTAAGCTCGGCGTGTCGCGCACCTAAATGCAACATGTGTCGTCGCATGGATGACGAGTTTCCTCTCTTTTAAATCGACATTTTCGCGAAAAGGCCAGACCCGAAGCGAGTTTCGCCTCGACGGCTGTAACGTCGTCGGTTTTCGGAATTTTCCAATCGTTTATGGCTCGAAGTACGCGTACAACTTTGAAAATGTGCGGTAAACGAAAAATCGATTTTTCGACGTTTCCAGATTATCCCCTTAATATGACGTAATTGTTGAATAGGCTCTTGTATGGAAATAACAATCGTAAAAGATCTGATTTAAAACTGACAAATACTCATTAATATCTCTCGGAAAGTGTATTTTAATACGTAAGGATGATGCCCGTCACGATCATTGCAGGGTTAACTGCTCGTCGAACGACACCTCGGCCTGCCCCCTCGGAGTAGCCGTTGGCAGCGCTGAAATGTACGAAAGAAGGAAGGAAGGAATGGCAATTTAATTGACTTCGCAGAGTTGGCCAATATTAATTGGGCAACCAATGCCACCGGTTAGATTGCACTAATAGATTGCACTGATAGTATTACAGCGGCTACCGATTAGTTCTGTCCTTTTAGGGTTGCCTCGACGACCCGGCTCGACCGATCTCTTTCTAGATCGTAATCTTATCTATAGTCGCGCCGAGGAAGGAGAAATCTGTTCGATCGCAGCGATTGCGTGTTAATGTAACCGTGTTAAAAGGTATCATCGTCGTTGTAACGTGAATTCCGCATTGTTCCGGTTGGATGTCAGCGGGACATCCCGTTGCTCCTGAGAAGTTGCGCGTTCGATCGAGCGTTACACGTAGAAAAAAAAGCGTAGCCTCTCGAACGATCTCTAGTCGCGCACAATCGCGATCCCAGCTTTGGCTGGACTTTCTCGATCGACCCTGCAATCGACGGGTACAATGACGCGCGACTTACGTCACAGTGGAATGCACTTTTTCGCGGTTCGGCTCGGTAGTGAAAGGTCTGATGTCCGGTTGCGTTTGCAAGGCTTTCGCACAATGTTACGTCAAGCGGGGCTAATAAGGTAAATGAAATCATTTAATAATTGCGATGGAACGTTCGATCGTCCTTGCTCTGATTAGGAACGACCGAGGTGAGCAACGATATCGGCCGATCGCGATTTCACGCCGATAACGAGGTTGTTCCCCGCGTCCGGGGAAAGAAAGCTTTTGTCCGGCAAACAGCGGCGCACGATCGGCACGTGTCATACGTGAGATATTTCTCGACGTAGTCGTTTGCTCGCACGGAGAAACACGAGAAGCTTTCACGGAAGTTACACGTGTACTCGACGTCGCGTAATACGATCGTACCTGGCGATTCTGACGATGCTCGCCACGCGAGTGATATCACATTCTCGATATATCGACTTGCTGCCAAGAGCGCTGCCCGCGACGTTGTTATTATTTAACTGATCGAGCGAAAATTTACTGCAACACGCACAGAAAGTAATACAGTATTTATGCCCGGGGGATCAAGCGGCGCCGTGCGGCCGCTTCGTAATGCGATCGCACGTTCGCTGAAAGAGGAAGGCTTGATCATTTATTTGTGGAATGTAAGGCTTATTTCACAGAAACAAACGTTTCTTTAAATACGGCGAAGTGAAATTTTATTCTTATCGGATGAACTGTTTAATAAGAAAACTTAGGTATATATTTTACAAAAATATATACTCCGTCATCATGGTCGAATTTTGCTTGACCAATAAATATCAAAGGAAATGCCACGAGAAACATTTACTTCGCAAAATTTCAATTTTCTTTTTCTCCGTGTATCGCATATATTGATTTCCTTTTAAGGAGGCAGCCCGAAATTTCAGTTCTATATTAAGCCTTCGGTTCAGTTCTACGGTAAGTCTTGAAATGTCTTGCGTTATACATCCTTTGATGTTACAAATGGGAAGTTACTTCTGTTTTTTCCGCTTTGAAGACTCAATGTAGAATTTAAAATTCCTTCCCCGGGAGATCTAAATTCTCTTTGTAATATTAAAGGAGCACTATTAGTACTCCTTTGATGTTACAACTGAGAAATAATTATTTCCGTTTTCTCCACTTGAAGACCCAACCGTAGAACCAAGTAGACTTAATGCAGGACCAAAATTTCGACTCGGGAGTATCGGTTTCTGACAGAATCGACTCCTCCTTACAGCGGGTCTCATCGTGACCGTGACCTCGTCGGTCCGCAGGATCTTCTCGGTGTGAATCAGTCTCTCGGATCGTTTTAAAACAATTTTATCTTATATTATTGCTCCGTCATTTCCCCGACGGGAAGATTAGAATCGAGCCGTGAGATCACGTTCGAATTTAATTATGCCAGATCGTCCCGTCTACGTGACTTTTAAGGACGCGATACATGCACATACAATTAGAGGCCGATCCTCGGATCGCCCGGCCACGGAGGAGCTTCTCCGATTTTTATCGCCGGCTAAAAATAGACCCCTCCCGATTGCACAACGCAATCGAAGATCGAAGGTGCAGATACCAATTTTTAGCACCGGGCGACTCCACTTTTCGCGAGACGTCTCGTGACCGTGACCTCGAGGATCGTCCATAGCGGCGAACACGGTCGCGGACGTATGCGCACGTACAGGGTGTGTCAAACTCATGGAGTTTGCAGGAATGAATATGTGCGAAAACCCAACTCTACTAAATCTATCATTGATTACGGCA